TGCTATGCTATGCTATGCTATGCTATGCTATGCTATGCTATGCTATGCTATGCTATGCTATGCTATGCTATGCTATGCTATGCTATGCTATGCTATGCTATGCTATGCTATGCTATGCTATGCTATGTAAACGGTTTTTGCAATTTCAATGGATTAAAAATCTCTCAAATGTGTCTACTTTTAAAATTCTTAGAGCTATATAAATAATAGCAAGCCCCATTGTTTCCCATTTTAGTTTTCGTTTTTGAACGATTTCTTCCCACCATGCAAAAATAATCGCTAATTTTGCAACCATTCGTTCCAACTCTTTCAATGATACGAATTTCTAATTACTTGGATGATATGGTATGATCGGAACCCGTGTCCTCGTCCATTTGTGGTTCCTCTTCTTCCACACCTTCCGACATTCGCTTTCTCCGTGAGTCTAGCTCGGATTCTTTTCGCATTTTGATCTGAGAGGATTTTCTTCGGACCCAGTATGCAAAGATCAAAAGAGCAACCAGAGCTAGCGATATAGCAATGGCAAGGTATGTAGAGGTAGGGTCCTTTTTGATCCTGGGTGTTCTCGTCACGGATTCGTCCAGTGTTGGTACTTGATCATTGTCGTTTTGTGGTACAGCGTTTTGGTCAAATGATGCGACGGATATGTCGTCCACCAACAGTTGAATTCCCTGGTTACTTAATTGCTCTTCAACATCTGCTTCTTTCCCAGTCAGCAAGCCTGCTTGATTCTGTTGCACCTTAAACGTATTCCAGCTGGATTCCAGGTGATCTATAAACAAGGTTCCAGAATACGAAAAGGTATGAATCAAACTTCCCGGAAATAGTTGAAAGCGACCTTCTTGGGTCAGTGTCAAGTTCAGTATGGGTGCCGTCATATCCAAGTAGCCTCCCAATAAGAATCCTTCCAGTATTTCTTTCGTGGTTTCGAGGGTTGTCCCATCGTCGGAATTGCCATTTAGAAATTGACGAGTCGTGCCAACCAGGGTCACATTGAAATCCAGTAGATTCCTTGGAAAGGCGAACGACGGTGATGATGAAGCCTCCATAATGTTTGTGTTTGTGTTTACAGCGGCAGCAGCAGCAGTGACGGCTTCAGCGTTCTGATGTTCTTCTGTACCACCGGTAGTAGTGATGATGGAACTCGTTCTTGTCTGAGTAATATTCTGAGAGTTGCTGTCGTCGGTCTCAGGTATCTTGATGTGATGGCCTAATGTCAGGTCTGAAGGCTCTGGAGAGAAGGAAATGGGAAGAGACGAGGAACCTCTTGCAAGTAATATCGGTGAGATCAGAAGGAGAGGGAGTACTGTTGGCCGTTTCATCCTATATTTTCGTTCGTGGTAATTGTAGAATTGGTGATCCAGCTCTTGGCACCTACCGGTACCTTCTACCAATAGTAAAAAACAGTTCTGATTTTCGTCCAGCACGTGCCACGTAGCCAGCCAAACGACAAAAATATGTCAACTATTTCGAAACCGTTGAAAATATATAAGAAACAATGTGTTATTTAACAGCGCATCCGCGACTCAAGGAACACCAGTCACGTGAAAAAGTCATCTTTCGACCTTAGCCCATTTTGTATATGACCATTTTCATTGTTAAAACCCATCAGACCTCTTGGGGTGACCCTTTAGGCCTACGGTATAGGGTCCATTGCTTGGTATATCCATAGGTTCGGTCGCTGGGACCATATTAGGCTAATGGTATGACATAGCTAGCAAAATGTAATTTCGTTTCATTTGGAGTTGAGCTGCCCCATCCAACCTAGTGTGACAGTTCCTACAGCCCGTATCTATTCCCCATTGGTCCCTTATGAGCTAGATGTGAGTTTGTAGTCTACCAATTGCCATAGTGGTCCTCCAATAAGGCCAAACAAAAATGACACGAAAATCACATTTTCTTACTTCAAAAACATGCTGCCCTGTTCGAGCTTACACCCCCTCTCCAACATAGTTTGGTAGTCCCCACAGCTCACATATGGCTCCATGTTGCTACTTATGAGCTAGGTGCAAGTTTGTAGCCCATCAATCGCCACTGGCATCCTCGAATACAACCAAAGGAAATGACATAAAATTACATTTTACTAGCTATGTCATACCATTGGCCTAATATGGTGCCAGCGACCGAACCTAAGGACACATCAAGCAATGGACCCTACACAGTAGGCCTAAAGGGTCACCCCAAAAGGTCTGATGGGTTTTAACAATGAAAATGGTCATATATACAAAATGGGCTAAGGTCGAAAGGTGACTTTTTCACAAATTCTCCACTCTACCTAGTACCGTGACTGGCGGATGCGCTGTTAAAAGACTTGCACGCTTCCCCAAGGAGTTCCACCATATCTTTCGCCAATGAAATGAAGCGTGTCATGAACGTCGGTGTGCAAAGTAATATGTAGTTATTTTATGCATCCAACAGTGGTCTTATTATGCTTGTATTCCAAAAACAATGAGTATATCTGAAATCAAATAAGCAATGCGTTTGAAGTGTCCTTCTTCGTTGCTCATGAACCAATGCAAAGTGTATGTATGGTTCTCTCTATGTTATGTTCGTTGTTGCTTTGCATTGATCGCCAGTGCGATGGATGACCCAAATGTGCTTGTATCGTGTTCATTTGCTGGTATCCTCTTATAAATCATATAATCCCCCACCCATGTCGAAATACTTGGAATTGGTTTTCTTTGCTGGGGATATGTTACTGCAAAATGGCAGCCTCCAGCCCGGTGGTTCCTTTCCCACCGCCGTGAGCTCACTTGGATTCTTCGTCGTTTCCCCAATTATCGTTGCCCAGTTATTGGCACTTGCTGAGCTCTTGCTATCTTCTTCTTCCCGTGCCGAATCGAAATGAGTCTCATCATCTGTTTCTTGAGCACCTTCCGTGGTCGGTGCCACTGCTGCTTCCCTATTTGCAGATGTGTCACCGCCCCCTTCGATATCTGTTGGGTTCGTCTTGTTGGTGGGCGATGTCGTGGGTGACGATGCCGCAGAAGAGATGGTTCCCGAAGATTTAACCGTCAATATAGTATCCCCAGTTTTATTCTCCTTTTCATTATTGCGTTCACTTTCATCAGCAATACCATCCTTTTCTTTACCGGCACTCACATCGGCGACGCTTTGTTTACGCAACAAGCGATCGTTCTTGATTCGATTGGACTTGATACAGACAAATCTCAAAAATATGGCAAAGGCCAGGGTCGATACTGTACAGGCAACGATCAAGGCAATTACAAGAGTTTTGTCACTGGCAGAATCCTTCTTGAGTCTTTTTGCCTCATAGTCGTCATCATAATCACGGTCAAGATAATCGTCCGAGCCTGTATTGATGGTGCTATTGTCCTTCAGATCGGTAATGTTATTGATAATTTCGTCGTCGTCATCATCACCATCTAGAGCACCATCTCCGTCATCATCATCATCGTACTCCCATGTGGTTGGCACTTGTGAGGGTGCATCCTCCTCCTCATCGGGGTCATCCACAGTTATGAATTGCAACACCTGGAAATATAAATGATTGCGCCGGAGCGAAAACTCTAGTTTGGAGAGTGATATGGGATTGGTGGTGTTATCCCCTGCCATTATTTTCTCCTGTAGCGGCAGAATCGTTTGCGGATGGAGCAGGACATAATCGTACTGGCTAAATCCCAAGAACCCGCTCGCCTGAAGTATGTGCATGTAAGGATCCCCATCTACCTGGAATCTTGTAGAAGTCCATTCCAAGGACACAATAGAAAGAATACTCTTACCAACTTTCGGTTGCTGATCAAATGGTCGTTGTTCGGAAGACTCATCATCTACTTGAAAGTAGTCCACCATGGCATTGTACAAGGAATTTTGCAATAGAATCTTGAGGGAATCCAACAATTCTTCTTGCTTAAAAGAACTGTAAGTGCCCAACAAGCGTACTTGAACTGTATTCAGAGGACGTCTGAAGGTGAAGGGATCCCGAGTTGGAGCCACCGATGGTGACATGATGGTGTTTGTTGGCGATTGTGTTGTTGCATTGTTGGCCGTATCATCTTCTTGAGCAAAAGATTTGCCTACGAAGCATGCCAGCAGTATGAAATGGAGTATGGAATGAAACTGCATGGCTGTCTATATGGTGTCTCGTGTGGCGTGAATTCAGCTAGCCGAGGAATGAATTGGAATGTATAAAGGAAGAATCTTTCTCGAACAAAGATATTTTGTTTGCTCGTTGTCGAATGATGTAGGCAGCTTGCCGTGGTGATGTCACCCAAGAGGCAGGTATGCGATCTATTATAGTGAAGGATGATGCTGATGAAACAGATAGTTGGATTATACAGAGCAGACCTATAAGATGTATTATGGAATCTAATCCCCTGCGTCCTGCGTGCTTGAAAATGCAAGGTCAAAGTTGAAAGTCGTCCGGCTAAGAAACTGCTTGCAGATTTCAGATTGTGAAATCAGCGGAGGGGCTGACGTCGTCCTTTCGAATCCTTTAATTAGGAACACTTTGTGGGACTGTTCGCATTTAGAGTTCCAAACGTTTCGGAGTCGCCCATTGGATGATTGATTCAAATCTGAAGCACGCGTTCAAATTTGAAGAAAGCACGCGTGATGCGAGTGTCCGCATACCTTCTCAACCTCTTGGAGAAGGTTTAAAATTTGCAGGGTGAGAAATCAAATCCGCTCTCCAAGTTTTAAAGAAGTGTAATAGGTAGCTAGTGTAACAGGTAGCTTTGATGAGTTCTGCATTGTCATGATACAACTGGCCATTTCTTGCAATTTGCTGTAAGTCCAATTTTCTTAGCTCTCTTTGATCCGCTGTCAGCTACTGCATCCTCAATGCTACTCCTAGCTTCAACACCACCAACTGCTCGCTCGTTCGCCCTACTCTTGATCATACTATCAGCAGCACCCACCACCTTCTCCTCGATGTCGTTGTTGGTTGAAGAAAAAAGCAAGGTATCATTCGGAGAAGGAACTGGTGTTGTAACCCCCTGATGGCAGTGGTAAAAATCCGCCCTACTGCCTCCACAGTGCCCCTTCTTCTACTTCTTGACAATATTTTTTCGAAGCCTTTTATACTGCTCCTGGTATATAGTCAGTAACATTTTTATAGGAGGCTTGACAACTCCAAATCATCAACAACTGCTGTACCGGTATATATATATTGCCAATACCGAGACCAAATTTATTCGAAGCTGCCAAATCATGCACGCGTGTGCTTGTTCTACAGCAGAGCATAAATAAGAACGTGTCAACTACAGTATAGGTGTATATGCTCCTAAAAATAATGACGACCTGCATGCAGCTTTTAACATGACGTGCATATACGAGAGCGAAACAACAAACGTAACGACAGAGCCAGCGCATAGACGCTTCATGTAACAAACACACACTTTATCATGCGGCGTCGTCTCGGTCTACAGTTCGTCCTGCTGATAGCCTTATTATTGGTCATCAGGCAGGCCTTCTCCCAAGAAGATGATTATGAGAATCCTGCGAAGGCCAACGCCACAAGTACTGGTACTCCAAACATTACACTTCCAGGAACGCTGAATACAACTCTACGGCCCACATCTTCACCCCTCTTGACCAAGGCACCCTCCAAAACGAATGCAGCTCAGGATCCAACACCATGCCCGACCGCCGCACCGTTTCTCCTGATAAGGCCTCTTCGCAATATGAAAGTTTCATTGTTTGGAGCCTACGATTCCTCGCGGAACGACGAGCTGTTGATTCTATTGAAATCTCTACTAGAACAATCACTCTACGATGCCATGGCCAAGTACTTTGTGCCGGAATCAGACAAGAACGAGTTCACGACGGAACAAGATCTTTCGAATTTGAGCATATTGTCCAAAGTGACCTTAGAATGGACAACCACCATGTTCACATTCGATGGAGACCCGTACCATAGCAGTCTTCAAGCTAGTGGGACTTTAGCATTCACCTCATATGACTATTTCTTGTTGCATCCGCAAACCATATTGTCGCTACAGGAACAAGCGATGGCTGGAAATGCTACCACCAATCATCGTATTGACTTGAATCATATGGATTGGTTGTTGGAGCAAAAGAATTTGCCTCTCCAAGTGGGGCAATTTATCATGGTCGAAGCAGGCGAGGATGCGCCCACAGCAGCGCCAACCACATGGAACTTGGATGATGATGACGACATTATCAGCAACGTCACCACCGACCTCAAGGATGATAACATTCGAAATAATCGAGACGATTTCGACGAAACTGGTTATACCTATGGACCGCCCAAATCCGTCAGCAAAGAAACTATTCGAGCTGTTTTGATTGTTGCCTGTACTCTTTCGGCCCTAGCATTTGGTCTCTTTTCGAGATTTGTCGCCATCAAATCGAAACAAATAAAGAAAGATCGCATGGTGTGTAAGCAAAGCTTTGCCAAGAAGGAGGGTGTTCAAGATGAAAATAACAGTGAAGCAAGCAATGGAGATTTCAAGGCGACCGGTATCGGAATGTCACCCATGACAGACAAATCCGTTTCGTCAGGATCGCGGACACAAGTCCCTTCGCCGAATGATACCATGAGTGTGTCATCATTTTCTGACGATTCGGTATCCATAACGAATGAAGAAGATCCCGAAGCGTACGAAGTATTTGTTGAAGAAAACAGCGGCGATGAAACAGATGTGATAGAAATTGGTCGTTGTTGAGATAGGGAAGGATAACCGGGGATGTTACTTTTCGCTTCCTACTAGCATACATGCTTGTCATTCCTTGCCATGCCACTTTCATTGCTCTCATCTTTGCTGGTTTCTGCTTTTTCCGTGGGTTATTTACTATCCGCAGTGCTGTTGTCATTTTCCAATTCCTCCTTTCGTTCATTGGACGCCGTTTCATTTGCTGACTCTTTAGATCCATTCTCATCTTTGCTGGCTTCTTCTGATTCCGTGAGGTTGTCCATACTACTGTTGCCACTGTCCAATTCTTCAGCAACTCCCACCTTTGTTGAATCGTTGGTACAATTCTGGCCATCTTTCCCTTCACTGCTTTTGCCACTTTCCTCTACTTCTTCCTTTTCAACATCCGAAGATTTATCGCCAGCACCCGTTGAGTGCTGAATGGTTGTCTCGTCGTCTGTGGATTTTGGAGTGACACTCCTTCTTGGAACTACAATTATGGCATTTGTCTTTGATAGTGATAAATCAGGATCCTTGCAATTGTCGCCATTAGGTTGTGGTTCGTCCAGGCTTTCCTCGTCCATTGACTTGGAATCAGCCATCTTTAGTTCCATTCCTTCGTCTGGAGAACTACTAGTACCATCCTTTCGAAACGTCCGCAATCGCCAGGAAGCTGCGATTCGTGTAATGACATTGTTCTTGCTGGGTGATGATACTGTTGATGGCGATGATGATTCGTGTTGAGCGTCAGTTGTCTCGATACCTTTCTCCACACAATCTTCTTGTCCAGCTTCCAGATCTGCCTTGCCACTGTCGTTGCTGTTTTCCACTCGAATATATTTCGACTTATTAGTCAATGATGGGCTCCTGCCCTTATTGTCATTTGCATTGCTGTTGTTGTTGTTATTGCTGTTGTTGTTGGCATCCTCCTTTCGAAAGACGGATGGCAATCGCGATGAGTACGTTGCAAATTGTTTGGAAATGTCCTTTTTGTTGAACTTGCCCATCTTGGGAATTAGATTCCTTGCTGTTGTTGTGGCTGTTGCTGTGGTTGTGCTAGGTTCTTTGTTTCCTTCTTCTTCTAACTGGCTACAGGCGACACCGTATTTGTTTGCATCCGTGTTGTCTGATTCCACATCCTCGAAATGTTCCTCCTTTGTCTTCTTGCCACTGATGTTTCCCACCACTGCATTCAATCGTTGGGGCAAATTGAAAGACGATCCATTTTTGTTGTGATTATTCTCGTCACTCGATGATGATGAACCTGCTCTCTTGTTCCTATTGCTGCTGCTGCTGCTTCTTCTATCACTATCTTCTTCTGCGGACGACACTGGCGTTGGAGCTCCAGATGCCATGGACACTGTCATAATGGGTGACGGTGCCGACAAGGACGAACTTGTCTGCACTGTCGTGTCATGTGTTGCCTCTTCCTCCTCTTCGTTCTTCTTCTTCTTCTTTTTTTGGTCCTTCTTTTTGGTAGCGGTGGCACTGGCATCCATCAATAAGGCTTGACTTCGTGCCAATCGATCCTCCTTGATTTGTTTCGATTTTTGGCAGACATATCTTAAAAAGATACCAAAGGCAAGGGTCGATACGGTACATACCACAATCAAGACAATCCCAATCGTCTTGTTGCTGACTCGAATGGAATCATCATCCTCATCACCATCGTCGTCATCGTCATAGTTATCGGCATCATCCTCCAAGGTATCGATAGTGTCCAGCGCGGTATCCTCCGTTTGGTTGCCGCTGCGGTCAGACTCATCGAGATCGTCGTCATCGTCGTCATCATATTCCAGTTTCCATGGCGTGGGTGCTTTGGTGGCTGATGGTTCCATACTTTCGTCGTCGTCGTCCAATAATGGTTGGAATTCCAAAATTTGAAAAAAGAAACCTTGACGTCTCAAGGCCAATTCGATTTGTGAAACTGTAATGATGGAATGTGTATTGTTGTTGTTGTTGCTGTTGATGGTATTGTTGTTGTTAGTATCATCATTGCTTGTTGTTGTCAATCCCATGACTTGTTGTTGGAGTGGCAAAATGGTTTGCGGATGCAATAGTACATAATCATAGTTTGTAAACCCCAAGGTCCCACTCGCTTGTAGAATGTGGACAAAGGGATCCCCATTCACTTGAAATTTGGCAAAGGTCCATTCCAAGGACACCTTGTACAAGATACTAGAAGTAGTGCTGGTACTAGTACTGTTGTTGGTACTGTTGTCGCCATCTTGCTGGATCCGTCGTCTCATCGTAGTATTAGTCGAGTTGTTGGATCCAGCAGTTGCATTCGTATCCTTGTCAGTTTGACTATCATGGCCATCACTATCATCAATAATATTTGGATCAAGAAAGGAATCCACCATGGCATCGTAAAAAGCAGTTTGCAATATACCTTGAAGGGTATCCAACAATTCGTCCTGTCGAGCAACATTCAAGGCACCTACCAATCGCAATTGAATTTTCTGCAACGGCCTTTGAAACAAAAATGGTTCTGTTATGGTGGGAAACGTGGAAGGCGATTCGGTTGGTTCCATGGTGGTGGTGGCGGTTGGCGTGTTGGAAGGCATGTTCGTAGGTTGACTACTAGGACTTTCCGAGGGAGGCATGGTTGGAACCATGGATGGCCTTGTGGTTGCTGCAATGATACCGCCGCCACTACCACTACCACCACCACTGCTACTGGGACGCGGAATGGTGGGAGCAGCAGCAGGATTGTTGTCTTGTGCCGTGACTCCTACTACTAATAGAACAACTGTGAGTGTGAGCAGTCGTAATATCAGCAGTAGTGGCATCATCGTTGGACCTGCTGTTCTCTGGAGTAGCGTCATTCCTTGTTGTTGCAAACAAAGGTTTGAAGAGGATAATGAGACAACAATAACAACCAGAAACAAACAAAACCTAGCTCTATATATTTTGATCTTGCCTTTTCCTATAATTACGAGAGTTGCAAATTTTTCGAGATATCTGCGCATGCATGCCTGCTGGATTGGAGAGGCTGACGCAATGCCGTCCGTTCGATTTTGCAGTTGGAAGCTTTGAGCTGTGGCTTGGCTTGTTGGCTGATTGAGACTTTGCGAGTCCTTTTTTGAAATCAATCAATCGTGTCAACTTGTGGGGGAGATTGATACTTCGTTGGGGGGCCATAATCATAATCACTCCCTACCCCCTCCTGCTTTGGAAGCGTTCTGGTTCTTCAACGGAAGTTAGGCATTGGAATAAAATTCGAAGCATTCTCGATCAATAGGTAGGTTGCTACCAACATCTAGGCAAGCATACCGGGTCGAAACGGATAAAATAGGCGGGGAGTCTCCAAATTCAAATAGAGTGCACGTGGCGATCTCTTGAGGATCGATGAAAATAAGTACAGTACACGGATGGAAACGCCTTGAAGCCACGTAAAACGTGAAACAATATTTCGTCTGCCAGGTACTCTCATCTCAAGTAGCTACGTTGCTAGCTAGCGAGTGTGAAAAGACGTCGATTATCATGACAACAACAACAGCAACAACAGCAACAACAGCAGCAGCAACAACAAGCAGCAATAGTAGTGTGTACAGTGCTAGTGTGCTCACGGAAGCAGAGACTGTCAAAGTCATTAACAACGAACAAACCATGGCAGCCTTGCAACAACAGCAAGCCAGGGAAGACGAAAAAGCCAAACAACAACAACAGCAACAACAACAGCAACAACAACAAAAGACTGTAGTGGAACAAGAAGAACAAGACGACTATGCGCCAATGTCGTGCATTGACAATGCCTGTGAGGCCATGATTGGTCTCTTTGGTGCTGGCAGTGATGCTCAAGACAAGGAAATGGAAGAAACGTACCACAAGATTACCTACGGCAACATGGTGTCAAACGTGAACGTGAAAGTGACACCAGAAAACAAAGCTCAGAAGGAAACAGAAGAAGAAGAAGAGACGGTCACGTTTGCTTTGGATGCTGTTTCTCCTCCTCAAGACAATCAAGCACAACCAAAGGAACCACCGACTCCTGTGACACCCGTCACCAAGAGAACCTTTTCCTTTGTTACCAACAAAAAGACAAAGTCAAACAAGTCTAGCAACAACAACAAGAAAAAACAAGGACGTATCGCTCCTACCGGTGTTACCGTCGACGACGGTCAAGTCGAAGGCCGTCGCAAGTCCAAAATTGGACGTTGGTGGAAAAAGAAGTTCCAAAAGGACACCAAACAACGTCGTTCCAAGAGTGTTCCACGGAGACGCACTCGGTCCGATACGGTTCCACCCTCTCCTTCTACCGTGGCATCTCATATGCAAGCCTCACAAGATGATCAGGAAGTGGCGGATTACGTGGACATGTCCAGTGTCTACAGCCATGGTCAACCACAAGAACAACAACAAGGACAAGCATCGCCATCTGCCGCTAGTTTGCAACCTCGGAATCGTGTCCGAATTCAAGATTTGGACGATAGTGATGATGATCAGGACGATGGATCTCTCAATGTCTGGAAGGAACTAAATGACATGTGGGAAGAATCGGGACATGACCTCGTACGAGTCGTTTCCGACAATATTTCCGTCAATGAAGAAACAACGGCTGCCGCCATGGAAGAACAGGATATCATGGCCAAGTACGAACAAGCCGTCGCTGCGGAAGGTCTATTGGAAGCGGCGCAAGGACGACAAGACAAGAATCGAGCCTTGGAAGTGACGGTATAATGTTACTACTGCTTACTGGAAATTGTGTGAGTATGTAGGGAGTGATATACATATAACTAATGGAATGATTGAACATGTGTGAACAAGAGAGAGAGAGGGGAAACGGAAGAAATGGCCATACTCGTGATGGGCAAACCTCAATGAATCAATGAGGAATGAATGAATGAAACCAATTCTCTAAAATGTACAAATAGTAACAATTTATATATAATATAATATCCTAGTGAAATATATATCCTATATCAATACTATTATGTCACATGACTATCTGCTCATGGATATCGAACCCTGCCTCCATACTGAATACATACTGTATTCTTATTATATGAATGAGGCATACAAACAAGCATTGCATATATTAGGCCAGTTACGTATAGTACTGATACCAGTACAGTAATGGATTGGAACAGGTGGACTAATACAGTACTTGATTCTGGTTCTAGCTCTTTGACACTTTCTTCTTCAGTTTCTTTTTCGAGATTCGACATCCACCTGCTCCTTGTTTTGCGGTACCTGGTACCGGGTACAAGTCTTTTTGTTTCGTCTAACTGTGCCTACTGCGTACCAGACATATTCCACTTCCAACATATCTTAGACACCATTCAAAAAGTGATGAGAAAGTACCAGGAGTGAGATCCAACAAGAATGGCTGGACTCATGTGCTAACAAGCTGCTTGAGTATTCCTGTACCGTATCCGCATCTGTTGCAATATCTGAATTCGCATACTTTTTTGATATATACAACTGGGATTTGCAGAGGTCGTCTTGTCGGCCGTCATGATCTTCATCATCCATGGTCTTCGTGAGAGAAAGTCAAACACGATCCTACTACTACCTGTAACAATGCTTCTGATTGGGTGCTCTTCCGATCCCTCACTCGTTAAGGCCTCGAATGATTGGCATCAGTCAAACAAACAACGAAAGAGCTACGGCCCATTTAGCTATAGAAGAAGTCGCCATACGGCTACTACAGACGATCGGCTTCCCTAATTTCTACTTGGGTCCCATCAGATAATCGAACTCCATCCATAAAATATGCAGCGTCTGATGATGCATCATTACGATTTGAAGCGTCACCATTTCTTGCCGTACTATCCCATTTATATTAAAAGAGCAACCAAACGATCATATAGATCTTGAATGATATGATCATCCATATATAGGATCATTCCTCTAAGCGTAACTGAGCACTTCAATCTCAAAGATTAGTTCGGAATTTGGCATAATTCCCCAAGCAGGAAAGCCTCCAGCTCCGTAGGCATAGTCTGGACTGCAGTGAATCTTGGCAACTTCCCCAATGGACATTTCAATGACAGATTCGTCCCATCCCTGTTGTTGTTGTTGTTGTTTTACATGGCAATGAGAGATGACACAAAGATATAAGATAAATGGAATCACACAATACACCATCTTTCAAAGCAGCTTCATTCTTATTTACCTTGATGACTTGCCCTAACCCAACGGCAAACGTAAAGGGTTCTTGTCCAGGATCCTTGGTCGACCAAAACTTTTTGGACATATCACGGTCCTTGCCGAATCCAGTGCAGTGAACGGTAACCTTTTGGCCACGGGTAGGCTTGATTCCATTTCCAGCCCGAATCAATGTCTTGGTGAATCCCATTGTCTTTTCCTTTATATTTATGAATGTACCGTTGCAATCTCTGGCAGTATATTGATAATATGCGATGTGCGTACCGGTATATGGATCTATTGAATATGAGACCTCTCTCAAACTGCGGGGGACATGGGGTGCATGTGCCGAAAGGGGGGAGAATATATAGTACTGTGCATCATCACTCTTCTCCAAATCCATTCCCCTTCCAAACTTTTCCTTTCCCTCTTTTAGAGTTCTTTGTAAATAACACTTTGGACTGCTGTCCTTTTGCGGGTCAATCTATTTTATACATTAGTTATTGGCGAGGTAGGTAATTTGCTTTTTTTCAAAAATAAAAAAAATGAGATTTGAATTTTTTGGAATGGGGGCGTCATCAAACTAGGGGGGGGCTGGAAAGATGTAACCTTCCCCGACATATTGTCGCGACGAATGACAGGCGTCAAATAACCTATTACTCTAGAGAGCTTTTGCAATGATACTGTAGTCCTGCTGGCTGCTGGACATAATGTATCCACCGAATGTCCTCGGATTGAAAGACGCGATCGGAAAGACTGTCATTGACTACTTTAGTCAACAAAGCGATCATCCGCCTAAAGACTCTCGGTGCATGCTGAAAGTCGATCTTGAAGGATGGTGGCGTGGATGGTGGTGGATTGTTCTATGTCAAGCTGGAAAGGATTCGACGCATAGAAATCAGACATGCCAAATAGAGCGAATGCTTTTGTTGCTGAGGATGAAGTCGAACAAAGACGATCTTGTTGTCTTTCAAGGCAGGAACTGACAGAAAGCAACAACAAATAAAGCAGAAGAAAATACTCTGCTCATTCGTCTTCACTCCTACTACTTCTAGTCCCAGTGACTAAAGGCGTGATGATACTCCTGAAACATCCTCCACGTATAATACGTGAAGGCATCGTAATCGAGTTGCCAGCGAAGTAACATCAGTGATGTTGGCTGGATATGCATGTACTATTGGCGTCGATGCAAATGAAAACCCAACCTACTAAAATGTAGGGGGTGGTGCGCATAGTTCTTCACCTCCTTTTTCCGACGCATCAACATAGCGACCAAGTCACATACGAAGACTCGGTGATTAACAAGTCCATAATATTACTGCAGTTAAAAAATAACCCTTCGAAGAAAAAAAAGACGATGGCAATGAAATCGAGCGGATCCACCATCACTTTTTCCAACTGTAACATTGGAATAGTAACCCCGAGATTTAAGCCTAGAACGACCTCGCGGCCACCTCCGAGTACATCGAGCACAGAAATTGCTTTCAGATCGTCTTGCTTCCTTGACGATTGCTGTTGTGCAATATCATACGCAGCATTTTAATTATATTTGGCCAATCTCCACATTGAACATAGTCAACGCGAAATTTCGTTTTGTTTCACTCACGGTCGGGTCGGTGCACATGCAGAAAAAAACACCTACGATATATGTGAGGAGAAAATGTCCCACGACCCCACGATAGAAAACTAGAAACTTGTTATTTTAGTCGCGCAATTCTAAGTTTTTTCCCCTCTAGTCATATTATAGCATAGTCATGTTCAAAAGAAACCTCATCTCTCGTCTCTCGTCTCATCGTCGCTATACTACAGCATCTTGCAGTACTACTATATTGAAGCAGCATCGCGCAAATGATGTAAACCTATCGCAGCATGTACCGGCATTATCGCAGATGAACTGTGCACAGATCATCAACCCAATATTGTCATCTCACTATCACGTCAGCCTACAATTAAACTCCGGTCTGAGAGGTAACAATTGCGATGAATCAACTATCGATAACACTAGATATTCTGATAGCTACTTCTTAGCTGTTGTGTGGTTGCAGTTTCCAATGTACTTCTGTAACTTCAACATCATAACGAGACTTACTTTATGTCACCTGCCATATTGACTCTTACCGTGGGAGAGTTGGAACTCCCATCAGACTCCAGTCTTTCTGTGGCAGCCGTGAGGCCACTTCTTTCGGATTGCGCATAGCGTGGATTTGTAGCATCCAAGTTTATGATCATGTTCCTGTTAAGAAGACGTGGGCTTTCAGATTGCCGTGTTGGTGCTAGTGCTGGCTTGATTTTCTCCTCTTCGTGCTTTGTATCTAGTTTCTTGATATTGCTCCGAGTCTTGTGCTCCACCACCTCATGTGCTAGTACCTTCTTCTTCTCTTTGTTTCTTTGAATCTTCTTCTCCTCGTGACTCCTGCTTCTAAGCAATTTTGTGGCACCTGGGCTGATGTTCCACAAGGCATAGTACTTGAATGCATCCATAAAGTCCTGTGCACTATTGGCGCCTTCTGAGCCACATATAGGCGAAGACGGCGAATATCAGTCGACATTTGGAAGTTTGTGATGATGAAAACTCCTTTCAAATCATACCGGGCGCCATCAAGCTCGACACCATCAAGTCTATCTTTTTCTCCAATGTTCAACACGATGTCGTCACCATTCGATTGCTTCTTCAGCATGGTGAGCTTCGCCTTACCAATCCTAGGGCTGGTAGTTGTTGGATACTTTGTGTACCACCATTCAATCTTCTTGATCAAGCAGCTTTCAGACACAACACTGTTGGGGCTAATCATGTACCCACCCAAGTTGTCTTGGCCTTTGGCTCCCATTTTCGCCGACTTGAACTTGAATGGTTGGAAAATGGTTCCATCGATAGTTCCTTGTTCTTGTTGGTTCGTCAGGTAGTAGTCTCCGAACTCAAGGTTGAGTCTTGCCTTTGCCTTTCGATTGAGACTGGTCATGTCAAAAGTACTATCTTTTGAATCCATGTGCTCAATTAGGCCATCTAAATCGCTCATGCTCAGCTTGACCAGATAATTTTCAACAACATCAGAGACCGAGTATCCAAGTATCTGGTGAAGATTGTCATCCAACTCGATGATGAATAGCAACGCAGCAGCATTTAGCACTTAATAGTAGATCGATGAGTTTTGTTAGAATTGTCAATCAAACGGCGGCCATGGTAGTAAGGATACTCCCGAATGAACTCACCAGCATCAATGAAGGTATCTTGGACAAAAATGACTATGAAGCCAGTAAGCAACAGAAAGAAATGAAGGCCAACGTTAATGAACAGATCCATAGCCAAGAAAAGTGAAGGCTTGTTGTATACGGTGGCTTTGGCTTGACGTGTATCGCGCAAATCCCTCAGAAAGACAAGACCACTGTAGAAAAGTGTAATGATCGCGAGGGGGAGATTTTGTAGGCTCCACGTCACGTCATCTGCCGCTAAAATAAATACGTCAATCATTTCCGCTCCAACATATAACGAAAGGCAAACTTGCAAAAGGAAGCAAAACCCAGATTCAACGAAGCTGAGCGCCCTATCATATCGACTGCCGACACTGTGATAACGAAAGTGCCCCAATCGATAAATATTGATACCACCACCATCCAGGAGAAACTTGTGCGCCTGTGGCAGGAGGAAGAAGACAATAGATTGTAATATGAGAGATGCGAAGGAAATCTTCACACGGGATGAAATTAACGAAACACTGTCTTACTTGAAATTTGGAATAGACAATGTTCAATAGAAGAGACAGCTGCTTTCTGGCCAACTCAGCATCTTTTTTATCTGCCAGCGCTGCCATTCTCCTTTAATTCTCCAAGAAACGATCGTTCCGAGCTGACGAAGTCCTTATTGTCCGAATGTTCCGAGCTGGTGACGAGGGTCTTGTCCGAACGATCAAAGCTAGCATCGAGGTTCTTGTAATCTTTGTCATTGGCGATGACTTGAAAGTTTGTATCCTTTGCGCACTTGGACAACGCCGATGCGACTGTGACGCTCCACGAATAGAAGGCACTGCGGTCTTTGTTGAATCCAGCTGCAAGAAGTTGGGTCAGAGAGACTCTGGCTGGCAGAAGTATAGTTCTTGGTTGCAACAACTGATTTGAAGAAATACTGAAAGAAATTGAATGTGTTCACATGTTTGTGATTATCAGTGAAATGAGTCTGGATGAAAACCTATGTTCGGAATGCCAATGACGTTAGAGGGTGCAAACCAGGCAATCATATCTTCACTTCATGGTCATGACTTACTGAATCTGGACCAATTGCAGAGTTTGCGAAGAAAAAACGAGCTTTGAAATCTCTCGAGTTCAACTTGGGCAACTCCTCGTCTTTTTTTGTATTCTTTTCGAGGATTCGCTGGATGAATGAACAGAAACGGGTAGTCTCTGGCTATAGTGCTGCCGTTTTTCATCGCAAGTTCCAACATTTCCTCCACAGTTTTCTTCAACACCTTTAGCGGCTCTTCAGACGATTTGTTGACGGCAGACGACGAAGAATCCTCGTGTCCTTTCTTCACATCGATGGAGATGTCATCAACATGATGCATCATCATGTCTCTTGTGAGGGCACTGTATGCGATTAGAAATGTTGACAGCGTGAAACAATTTCAGAGTGGATGTTTTATTTATAGTCACTTGTATTTTATGTTGGGATTTCGTGGTGACGTATCAAGACAAGGGGCCTAAAAGTTTTTTGACAAAGTACGAAAGCAACTACGGCACACGTGGACACTTTGAACTTGGTGCATTTTTAATAAAACGATAAATGATGAAACGGATGAACTGTCGTACCCTCTGACATGCTATTGGGGAGACTACTCAGTGACTATGGTTTACCACGCTGTGATGAGGTGGCATGTTCGAACGTCATATTAGTCATCTGGGATCTTGATCCAACATCGTCTGTCCGGCACCGTTTGATTCTTAGTCGCAGTAATATGGTCGATCAATAAACTAAACCATTATTTGCAACAACAATAAGAATAATAAGTCCTGTATCAAGATGACCATGATGATGAAGCTTTTGCATGAATGCCATTATGGAGGCTTCGCCGGCTTCAAAAGCTATTCAAGCCTTGATCCAAGAACACAGCTAACGGCTCCATTAAGCCATTCCGACTAGCGATATGTGAAAGTCGTTTCTTTTGCCAACCGTGCCGTGTAAACACGATGGCGAAAATGTGCAAACGTTCACCCTTGGCACAGTGAGATTCACGTTGCAAAAGCTCATAAAACAAAGTGCCAAGCTTTTTGTGTGATATATCTTTCTTACAAGCAACCTTATTCTTTACATAACTAAACACAACCAAACATGACCACCTTTGGAACCAAATCAACACGTCGCAACATTAAGGATGACCTTAAAACCGCGGAACAACGCCGTCAAGGCGGACAACGACAAGCACTCATGGAGCGAAACAGAGCCAAGTTCTCTTCTCCTCTTAATGCTGGTCCTTTTGTGTACAACCCTTCCCCGTCTCCCACCAACGAATCCTCGACCAGCAGTACCGAGAAGAAGATTGATCTCTTTGGCTGTTCTCATTTGGCCCCATTCTCGGAATGGTACAAAACCCAATACGGCTGTGAACCTTCGGACTCATTGGCCATCTTCTTAAAGCCAGTACAAGATGTCACATCGGCATCTGATTGTCTGGATGATGGAGACCAGATTGAAGCCGAAATGATGGAGACTTACCTTTCGCTCCATCCTTATTTGGAACTAACCGCAAATCACAAAGCGGATGCTTCTATGAACGATCTTGCTAAACGATTCTCCAGTCTTTCCATCAACTGCAATGCGATGGAAGTTGACGAAGACGAGATGGACATCGACCTACCTGAAATTGACTGGATGCAAGTCGATATTGATGAAATGGAAGTCGATTGTCCATACCGGTAGCAGATCTCATCCACACATGACCTTTTTGGAGACAATCTTCTTGTTTTCAGCCTTCTTGACTTCTCAGAAAATGTTGGCCAACACTTTTGCAATCGCAACTGAGCATGTCAAGAAGCTGGAGACGAGGAGGGCGCTTCCATTATGAAAGATCCTTGTGGTTGCGGCCTAGTACCGGTATTCCCAAATAACTCCACGAACGATACTAAGATCCTTCCACGGCTGAACGAAATCAAAACAAGATCTCACGTCCTTCGACCGCTACCAGGCAACTGGTACCATTTGATCCTGCTTCAGCTCGAAGTTCGAGCTGTTGTGGTCCAAGAATCGCTCAAGTCAGTATGTACTTCTTCAATACTTATTCTCTTTTGGGTGAAAAACCAAATCCCAAAGAGTATATAAAAGGCATACCAGTAGTAGGTGCATCTCACTACACCTACCCCTACTACTATGATATCAAAAGATACAAAAGTACAAGTGAATGTAAAAAAAAGACAACCAAAATATGAAAACACAGGGAAAACCATATTGTCCCTCGAACACAACAACAAGAAAACACATTGAATGCATGAATAATATATTATCAATGCAAGAGATAATCCATCGTTGAATGGAAATCGTTTCAAAGAAAGAAGAAGAAAAAACAGCAACAAGCATGACAATATATGCATCGATGCAACTTTGAATGGGAAAACATTCGAAGTCAGAATAAAAAAGATTATAAATATATGCATCAACACAATTTTGAGCAATATAGAAAAAAAGTTCGAAGATGAAATACTGTACTAAAACTATAATTCCAATAATGGATGCAGAATAAAACGACACCAGCCATATTCCTTCTCTGGTCTACCTAGTCTATGAAAGTGCATGCCCATATGGTCGATATTCATTATTTCGATGTTGTACATGCGTAAGAGGTGTGCGGTACTGAATGAGCATGGGAATACGATCTCCCTTCTCCACCATAATCGACTGCACTACAGTAGTAGTGGGAATGATGACTACTGTGGGAACGCAGGGATTTTAAATGCTTCGTTGCAGATACCAGCCAGCGTCATGTTTCGAGAACAAGGATTCTGAATTAGATTCTTGTCGGAAATGCTTTGGCTGGTGTTGTTGCGAACAAGAGCGGGAAGAACCCTTATAGACTGGACGCGCATCAAAATCTTCATCGGCGGGAGTAGAAGCAGTCTCAAAGAAAAACGACCCAGTGCAAATATTGCTTGGAACTACCATGAAACTTGGTTGAGAAGATGCTGTTTTCTTGGGTCGATGACTTGACGCAGAAGACGAAGACGAAGAAAGGTGATGGGTAATAGACCACCAGCTCTCACGTTTCGAATCATCGTCCAATGGTCCAGCAACAGCACCATCATGAGAGCTGCTCAATTCGTCTCGCACTTGTCTATTCTGATGATTCCTCAAGTTCTTTGTTTTCTTGCTGCTGTTTGTCATCGGGGAGGAGGAGGCAATGCCACGATATTGATAATCGCGACTGGTGTAATTGCAGGTACAATGATGTGGACATTTGAGACAGTCGACACAGACGCATTGCAGATCACATACCCGTGGATTGCATTCGTCGTCGTCGTCGTCGTCGTCAAATACCATGCATGTTCCAGATTCACCACTGCTGGAATAGTCCAACAATAAGGTCTCGTCATTGATATTTTCATGCTCCTGTTCCTCCTCCTCCTCCTCTGTGGCAGGGATCCATCTCAAAATAGTATCGTCACACCAAGATGAGGACGTGTACAATAGAGTCTCCGACGATCGATCATCATCGTCTCCTCCTCCTTCTTTGTCATTTTGAAAGGGTTCACCCTCTTCGGAACCAAAGACGGCAATCCATTCATCCATTCTCATGTTGAATCGTTGCTATATATGTTCTGAACGATATTGTATGGCGATGTATATGATTACTGTTGCTTTCGTCCGCTGAAGAAATTATATGGTTCTGTGTTCGTGATGGATATGTTATGGGTTCAAATTATTGATTTGATTCAAATTCTTCATTCGACCCATTCAAAATCTGAATGGATCGAGTTTTCTGGTGAAGATGCATGTGTTCACATACAAAAACATGTGTATGGCTTCTTATAACGTCCTCCTCACATATACCGATAGATGTGAAGGAATGTATATGAGGACACCGCTGGTAAATTGTTTCACTCTTGAATGGCAATATCTTCATTCATGCCCTCTAACAGGTAGTCATCCGGATTGGCCTCCGAATTCGATTGTCATATCATATTGTATTGTATATTCCAACCTCAACGCGTCAATATGTGTGGATGCTGCACGATGACGATTTCAGATTATTATGATTCTTTGTGTGATTTGAAACTATATCAGATCCACCAACATGCCCAGCATTTTCATATCGCATTTTTCTTACCGTGTGTACCAGGTACCGGTAAGGTACATTTCCATTTACAATAATACTATACTATTGTCAGGAAATATATGCAACACTGTTTTTACTTTTTACATTCTATTTTGTTGTGGCACACACACAGACACAGACACACAAATGTCATTTGTTCGACATTATATGGGATCACGATGGATTGATTGATTCGTTCATTTTTACGTCCAGCAGCAGTACAGGTTCATACTTTATGATAATCCTTCCTGATCCATTGTAATAGCATTAGACGCACACTTGGCAATTTGGAGCAGGAGCAGTAGCAGCCGTACCAATGCTACTTGTTGTTGTTGTTGTTGGCAATGCTTTCACACCAGCAGTAGAAGCAGAAGCAGCACCATCACCAGCATTTTGACCATGACAATGAAAGGCGTCTGCCTCGCCCATGCTGGGTTCCACTGCCGAGAAGCCGCGATTGGTCTCATTCTTGGTTCTGAGCCTCAGGGCATGACTTACTTTCTTGTAGGCCGTGGCATAATCGACTTCTTCCCAGGTATCCAAACCGCAGTTTGTGGATTCATCCGAAAAGGATCGAATGAATCTGGCACCTGATTTTTGGACTTTTTCGAGGACACGTTTGATGATCTTGGTCTTTTGGGCTCGTTTCGATTCAAGGTAGGCTTTTCGGTACTTGTTGACAATCAGGTGAAAGTTGAGGTTTCCACGGTGATTGACAATGTGAAAACCACGCCCGCAAACAATGTCTGTGGGTTTTGCTTGAATGGTTCGTCGAGGATGATGGTTCGATGATGTGCTGGTAGTTTTGTTATTGACACGAGTCGCTTTGCGCTGCTGATGATGAGGAGGATTGACAACGGCAGCAGCACTTTTGTGATTGCTCATTCCACCATCACGAATTTCCAATAAAGATGATGGAGAAAGTGACATCATAGTGTTAATAGCACCACCATACTGTTGGGGGTATAGCTGTGATTGCGGTTGATATTTGTTACCGACTGATCCAAAGGGAAACAAAGCACCAACTGACATTGCCTGTCTTGCAATCATGTTTTGTTGCAACAACGATTGCTCGACGAGCTGTGTGCTAAACGCCGTTCTCAAGAGGTTTGCTTCGGCATTTCTTGCTGCCTGAATACTTTCATCTCTGGTATCGCTGTTGTTGTTGGATAAATACTGACTCATGGTGCAGCTGCAGTATTGATTGAATACAATGGGACGCTTGGTCTATCGAATTCTCTGCCAGATTGTGTTTGTTGTTGTTGTTGTCGTTGATGTCAGCGTGAAGAAATCGCAGATCTGCGTACTTGTAATTGCAAACTCGTGTGACATGACGCTGTACGTGTGACAATATGAATAGCTCGTACATGGCATCTGACGTGGATCGAATTGGCGTGGAACCTTCGTTCGGCGGTACTTTCCTTAAGGTGTTCTACGAGGTCTCTGTGAAAGGTCATTTTGATGTTCCATTTCGTAGCGAAGCACATGCACAAGCCACACCTCGAAAAGCCCGGCGCATCTCTGAGAAGGACCTTCAAGCTTTGTTTGGTATCTATTATACCTATGATCCTATTAGGCCCGGCATTCGTTCATTTTTGAAAATACTGCCGAGCCAGTCGAATTTTGAAACAAAAAACGAGAGGATTCCGCATCTTCATCATCATCAAGTTTCGTTATTGTTGTCATCCTCTACGTTGGCCTTGAAACAATACAACCTCTTATACAAGAGATAGAGATGTCTTCACGTCCACCTACACCACCCGGAAGACCGCGCACACCCACCAAACCATTGACTCCACCACCTCCGTCTTCGTTGGCAGTACAACCACCACCACCACAACTACAAAAAGATGTTCCTACTAGCACAGAACAACAACAACAACAACAACAACAGCCATTAGAGAATACCGATACCAAACCACAGTCGACGACAATGGCGAGTAATCAACAAATCCTTCCATCATCTCCATCCGACAAAGGAAGCCTTGGAGAACCTTCCTCCGCCTCGGATATTACCATGACAAACATCATGACCACGAAGCCGCCATCCACCACCACTACGTCAAAGCCTGCAGCACCAGCAGTAGCTACCAGCAGCAATCTACCCCCAGCTACTCCTGTTTCACCACCGACAACAATACCAAACAACAACAACAACCGAAACAACCAACACTTTGGCACCTGCGATACTTGTGGGATTCCCACTCATCGAAACCGTGGAATGCTTGGTTTGTGGAAAAAAGATGTCTTTACCAATGAACAAGTCTATCAAGGAACTTGCATTCGATGTCATGGAGAATTGGTACCACCAAATGTATTTCTAGAATGGTATCTGCAAAAGCGAAGAACATCCTCCCGCAATAAGAACGATCCAAAGAGCAGCAGCATCAGTGGTGGTGGACCATCACCACAGGATGATGCTCTTCCAACAACAACAACGACGACGACGAATTTCAACACGCCAGCACCCTCTGGTCTCACGACGATATCCAATCCGACCCCAGGAATGCCCAACAATATCCCTGGAACATTAATGTTCCAGCAGACTCCATCTCCTTCTTCGGCTACGACACCAGGAGGATGGTCCAGCATTCAAGTTTCGGCGAGCAGTGGAGAAAGCACCCGCGTTTACGAACAAGGCTTTCAACGACCCAAAAAGAAAATGGCAAAGAATAGTCCCAACAATAAGGGCACATCCCAACGATTTTCGTTTGCGGGGATTGAAAATGCCGACAGTCCTACCGAACAAAAGGCGTTGCGAGCAAAATACGACCGGGTATTTCAATTGTTGCAGTCCTGTCGGACCGATCTCTATCGACCGACCACGGACGAATTGGATCGATTGCGATTGACCGAAGAAGATTGGAGAAGCATTGTACTAATATCGAATATCGATGTGGGATGTCGACTATTGCATTGGGCACTAGTCTTCAAGGCACCCTATCCCACCATTCGATTTTTGTTGCAACGAGACGTGGAAAGTAGTTGGACGGTACAACATGCCGATACTTTGGGAAGTTTGCCTCTGCATTATGCCTGTCGCTATGGGGCTCCCTTGGAAGTCTTTGAACTACTACTAAGAGAAGATCAAGGAGACGAAAAGAAGACCATTATTCATGTTGACAAACAAGGATGGATGCCACTTCACGTTGCCTGCCAATTTAATTGCAACACCAACATCATCAAACTTCTTCTGGATCAAGATCCACAACAAAAGGAGAAACGATCCGTCACACATCGGGACAACCAACAGTATTTGCCAATTCATTTGGCACTGGAGCGAAACGTTCCTACCAAAACGTTGGAATTGTTATTGACGGCAGACACGCAGCGAAAAACCATACACGGTCCGAGTCCATCGGGGTTCACCACGATTGCAGACTTTGCCATGAAATATGATTACCAATCCTTACTTTCCGAAAATAGTACAAAACTGTTGAATTTTGTGGTGGATGAAATGAATATTCATACGGCGTGCCGATTTGGTGTTCCGCTCGAGACGATCAAGCTTCTGCTGGATATGGATTCCAATCAGAGCATTTACAAGATTGATGAAGATGAGAACCTCCCACTTCACTGTGCCTTGGATGGAACGGCAGCTCTGGACGTCATTCGACACTTGATTCGAATGGACACCTCCAAGTCTACGCTCCATCAAAAGAACAAGGATGGATCGACACCGCTATTGAAGATTGCTCTAAGAGAAGATGCAATGGCGATACTGTCTGGATTTCCATCACTCATTCAGGAAGCGGAAGCCATAAGTATCGTCGAAGAAATGAACCTGGCTGTCAAGATGAAGGTCGATGTTAGTTTGGAACTACAAATGAAACACACCAAGCTTGTCAATACAATTTGGCAGAGAAGAGACTTTGAGAACCGACCATCTATCGCAGAATTGACCAGCCTCGGCTATTCGGAAGAATTCTGGAGGCGAGTGGTTTTGATTGAAGACGAAGACACTGGATGGTTGCCACTGCATTGGGCGCTGGCCTTTGGAGCACCGCCTTCGACTATTGGCTTTTTGCTGGAAAAGGATTATGAACAGCATAGCATTCGTCATGGCAATCTATCAGGAAGCTTGCCTATTCACTTTGCTTGCCTACATGGAGCACCATACGATATAATCCAAGGCCTTCTTGATAAGGATGTTACCCGCAGCACGATTCATGAAAAGAACAATGCTGGCAAGCGACCACTAGACTTGTTGCCGAGGAATTCCGATATCATTGCCAACCTTGTCAAGGATGCTCGGACAATGGATATGCAACCGGAGACTCTAGACTTTTTCTTCCAATCCGCCCCACCCTCATTGTTAAAAAGGGCCATCATGGATACCTTGGAGAGTGGCACGGGAGGCACCAGTCCGCTCGAGTGGATGAACTACGGTTTTTGTCAGGATTCTGCCATGATCTCAATTATGCTGGAATTCTACTTGCTGATAACTTGGATTGCTGCATTTGTGTATGCGTCCGTGTGCTACTTGCTGGATGGGTACTTGCCGGAATCTCTTGGAATCATGCTACCCATCCTTACTGTCTTGGTTCTAACAGTCAAATTCCGGTGTGCGTACAATTCTGACGATTTTGACTCGTTCTTTTCCAATATCAAGAATGTTTGGAACTTTTGTGCCATTGCTCTGGTGTTTGCCTCTGCTATTGCGCTGAACTCGGCGACACCCAAACATGATTGGCGTCCGCTGATAATTGCCACTGGAACCTTTCAAATTGGTACTCTTCTGATATCCTTGAAACGAACTTTCTACTCGCTCTCAACACTTTTGGGAGCCGTCTATCAGGTAAGACACGAGACTTTTTGATCTTTGACGTGAGTGACACTGTCATGCAATAGTTCTGATACATTCATTTTCCTTTGAATTCAGAGCTTTTGGAAGCTGGTTCCATTCTTTTTCATCACGGGAATTGTCATTGTGGCATTCGCATTCTTTTTCTTCGTCAATCGCTACAATACGGACTTGGATATCGATTTGGAGCATCAGACTCTGGTTGGATCCTTGACTTTTGTATTTCACATCATTGTTGGAAGACCTGACGAGACCTTGGATTGGCTGGATGCGACCTTTTCGATTCTGACGATACTAGTTCTTTTGAACGTTGCGATTGCTATTGTCACTCAGAACTGGCAGGTATCAACTTCGAGAGCGTCAAACCAATTTTGGGTCGACCGCCTAGACGCCATCATAGAATACCGAAGCCGTGGGACTCCATCTCCGAACCCAGCAAATAGGCTGTGGGAACATGTTACCGCTTCCTTTCATGATGGTCGCCAGCACGAGTCTCTGTTTGACAAGTCGCGATTCTGCATCCTTTACCTTGACTTCTTTCTGGTTGGTCTGGCAACTTGTGGATACCTATGGCCACAAGAGATTCGAAGGGACCTTTTCTATGCTCCTCTGAACCTCGGATCCACTGATGGGAACCAAGAAATGGATTTGGTTGCAATGCTAGAACGAAAGATTCAGTTGCTGGAAGAGAACATGGAGTGGAATCAACGGTTGATGGATAGGAAAATGCATGAAGAGTTTGATGATCTGAAGTCGCTCCTTGTAGGCCTTCAAGATAACAGCGCCAAAAAGCCCTCGAAGTTATCAGGTAGCGGCAACTCTGCTCGCGTAGACATGTCCGGAAAGCCACAACCGTTTCCACCAACCGAAATATTAGTAGCCAAGGCCTAAATGAAAGGCATTAGGGCGGTTACTGCTCATTTTATCATTAGTGCAAGCTTAATTTTGCTCAAGACTAGTGTTTTGGAAGCAAATATGTTATGTGTCAACAGTCCCCCCCTTGACGAGTTCTGTTTCTCATCTCTTGACGAGTTCTGTTTCTGAACTCGGCACTGTATAGTCAGACATTGATGTGGTCTAAACATAACTATGACATTTTTTTAAAACAGGAATCCCACCGGGCTATCCTTGACAAAGTCAGGGACAATGTGGAAAAGATCATCAGCGAGCAAGACCAATGGCCATCCAAACAAAAAGTAGGCCCAGAATGACATTTTCAAAGGATTGGTGTTTGCAACCATGGCAGGATCGACCCATTTCACTTCCTTGATTTCTCCAGCTCGTCCATAGTTTCTAGCAATATTTGATTCATCAATGGTGGTTGCTTCCATTGGTTCTGCCGAAGCGCTCGCCCCTTCAGCAACTTCTTCCAAAGGATCGGAGGACATGAAAATCTGTGACGATGAAGAAACTGCTGACGAAACTCCTCCCATTACAAAATATGATTTTGGGGATGTGAATGCGGCGACGGTTGTCAAGCAAAGAAGCATAACAAACAGTGTAATAGCAGGTCGAGTCATATTGGTAGTGCTTGATTGTTGGTATGGGTGATGTGTTTTTGAGAGTGAGAGTTCATCTATAAGATCCGAAAGTTGAAGTTTGGATATTTCAGATGCTAGCGATGTAAGGGACAGGTATAGTCTCATTTTGACGTTCTATCTCAACCGGACCGCGTCAGTCGTGATACGCATGCAGGATCAAAGTTTTATTAAAATTGTATGCAATGTTTTGATACCCCCCCGCGTTAATTCGAATTCAACGTCAAGCAGGATGTGCACCGATAGAGCGAAAGGGTAGAAATCCTCCATGCAAATTTCGTGAAAAAATCCTGCATAAAGCCATTCGAGGTGGCAAAGAGCTTCTGCTTTTACTTTTCATTTAACGATACAGATCCCAAAGAAGGCGATAATGTTTAAGGAGTAGTTCTTGAGGCTTCTCAAAGCCTCAAATTCCCAACGAGTCCAATAATTGTTGCAGGATAATTGTGTCGTCGAACAAGATGCTTTAAATCTCTATGCAGAAAAGGGATATTGTGTGGAAAGACAAATCTTGGCTCACAAAACCTAACCTCACAACCCACGTGGTGCCTGAAACCCTCAAAACCATGTGCTCGCCACAAGCTAATCCTCCAAGCAACGACTCCATCACAAACGCAACTCCTCTTGTTGGGCTTCCGACGGATGTTGATATCGTTTGCGGACGTGGACGTGGTGTTTGGTCTCATCCAGGAAATCTCAAGTTCAAACTTCTGATCGAATGTAACCTTCCAGCCTACTCACAAGCAGTCCGACGAAAGGAGAAATCACTCATCATTAACCACGTTTTGCACACCATGATCCTAACTGGTGCACGCTTTGTCAAGCAACAACGCAACGTTTGGTATGCCCTCGATGAAAAGGAGGCCCGTGAAAAAACAGCACACGCCATGAGAGATTTCTCCAAGCGACGGAGACAAGACCAAGATCCGCAGAAAACCAATAACAAGAAGAGGAAACGAATAAAAAAAGCACAGGCCCCTACTATCGCCGTCGCTAAACCAGATTGGACCAACTTTCAGACATCCGCCCCTACTACTTTCGTTAAACGATCGTTCAGCGAGCCTCAAACAACTCTATCAAGGAGCCTTCTCGACTTCAAGATGTCCTCATACGATGACAAAGAAGAGAGCGCTGCTACTCTTCCTCATCCCTCCCTTCCAAAGTCGAAGTCTCTTTCTGATCTTTACAAATCATTTGACATGGAACCTAGAGCCGTCTTTTCAACAAACACTACGCCATATCATCTTCATGCTCGTCTGCCAACACGAATCGATCGAGATGATGAGCGACTGCAGCTGTTCCACATGGAAACTACAGACCCACTACAAAATCTATTCGGAAGCGCTGCTACTGATGAACCGAATTTGAGTCTCAAGTCTTCGGTGCTTGATGAATCATCTGAGAATTTCAACCTTCCGGATTTCTGCTGATGATTCTGTTGCCTCTTTACAGTTTTGCTCTTGGATAAAAAAAAGTTATGACAATTTACACAGTTGTTCAGGCAGCATTTACTATTTTAATATATGTACTACCGGTTACCGGTAGTGATCCTCTGATCAATACTTAGCCATGCAGATTTTTCCACTAGTATTTGATCGCGGTTCTTTCCACCATTGATTGTGTTCGACCACTTCGTAGCATCATCATAAACCGTACATCATTACGCGTTACCCCCCATGCTTAGCTATAAGACGACTTCCCCAGTCGCAAAAAATCAAATGTTCCCCGGATTTAATACTGACAGGGCACCATGGAAATTTACAAGAAACTTCTTCTCATGGACTAGTACCAAGCTACTACTGGTGCCGCCTCAGCCACTCCACCGCCAACTCGGTTCATTACTCTAAATGCTGCAGTCTCATCATGCAGAACCGATGACAAAAGGCGTCATAGGCTACACCAACCATCATATTCTAGTTTCAGCGGACCTGTCGATATAGTCTCCCCCTTCTTAAGTTTCCAACATTTTCTTTCTTAAGACTCTCTGACATCTCCAGACAAAACTTGATGATCTTCTCTTCGAGATCATCAAAAGTAGAGCTCGTGACTTGGTGGACATTCTCTTCTTGTTCTTTTGTAATCGTTTGACTGGTCGCTTTCATGATACAGTTGAAGATGCTATTGTAGGATTCCTCGATTGGTTGAACGTAGTGCTCCAGGAATACATTCGGGTTATTTGGAATGCCGTTGTATATCAGCCAAAGTTCATATGAATACTTCTCCATCATAGCATCAATAATTCGAAGCTGCCGTGCTGCTGATTCCTTCTTACCAAAGTACATTTCCACCTCAGCCTTGTAGCGAATCTTGTTGCGTCGCCAAACTCTCAGAGCTTCCTCAAAACGCTGCCAGTTTTCTTGGTCATCCCGCAGTAGATCTGGCGAAAAAATTCCGGCTGGACGTGATTTGCGCCATGCGATGTTCCAGGCACTGTATTTCATGAGGGAAAACAGATTCTCCATATCTGACATGGTATTCTCATACGTTACCCTCGCATGCTGAAGCTCTTCCGTTCGATTGCTTTGTCCCTGAGTTCGTCTTGTCACTAAGTGTTGGTAGTAAAACGTATTGATTCCAACTAAGAACCCAATTATGACTGGAAGAGCAACAAACTGAAGTATTGTTTGGACGATTTCATCTTCCACAACCATGCTAACGTTCGCCGGTTCAACAAGAAGAAGGCAAAGTCGACAGTGAAGCGTTCTTGGGTCTAGCTATTGTCACTGATACTGAGGATTTATGTTGTAAAATCCGCTTGTGTATCTTGTTGTTGTTTTTATCAGCAAGCACCGCTGGTTTGATGGCGATGACACTGCTGCTTTGATTTGACGGAAGCAGTAAGAAATCTGAAAATCTCAAAATTGGAGTTGACTTGATCTACACGACTGCCTGGATGCCGTATACGGATCTTTGTGGCGAGTTGGCCAGGTAAAACGACTAACCAAACGATCGCGCGAAAATCTGAAGTTGAATCCGTCACAATAATATCGTTCTTCCATCGAATATGTACATGTATCATCCACTTCGCTAAAAGTTCGACACACATCCATATGCCATTGCTCTCTCCATTGATATCAAAAGTTGCCATCCATATGTCTTCGCAAGAGCTGCAGCCTTACCCCCTTTCAAAGACTTCTTCTTGCGCCAGTGCTACTATGTTCAACATTCTTCGTACGGCCAGCACCACCACAAGCCATCAAACCCCTTGGACTACTGCAGAGGTGGATGAAAGTGTCTCTCCCTCCCGCAATGACCGAGTTACAAATCTGAGACCAAGACGAGTAACCTTCAAGCCGACAGTGACGGTGCGCAGCATACCTCATTTCAATCGATATCCTCAAAGCATGAAGAAGAAAATATGGAATTCCTCGGCTGAAATCTATTGGAATGCTCGACGAAACAAAATTGAATTCAAAGCGGAAGGTTGTGATTGGAGAAACGTTGTGACAGAAGATCAAATGCATGTCGATGTGGCCATGGGGGAACTGATACATCCTTGTCATGTCTCTTCTTCAAGTACGCAGCAGCACCAGCACGAAGTTCTTGAAGCTTCTGGTGCTGGTGGGGGTGTGGTGAGGACAACATTGTTTCCGACCACCCGTAAAGTACAAGGGGAACTGATATTGTGCTAACGATCGGATCTTTTAATGCTAGCCCGTATGCATCCGGGTTTATCTGTACATACAAAAAGAAGCAACAATGTGAATTCCAATACATTATTCATACGCTATGGAAAGGATGCAATTAGTTTTGTGCCCTTCAATACTATGAAAGATAGTCTCATGAGTCGTGTCATGAGTCACAAAGAGACGGTCAACGATATATAAGAAGTGACTGATCATCAATTCTAAACCTAAATCAGCTGTAGATGGCCGATTTTGGCTTCTTCACGCGTCTAACTGGCAGAAGTAAACTGCAGATCAAGAAGGCGTGTCCCTCTGGGATGATGATTGATTCATAGCTAGCAGTCTCTTGTTGCTAAATATTATTGAGTGAATATTGAAGTGCATCTATCCATAGCATCTGATGAAGGAGGTATCGCCCTTTTTGGCTGATTGTCCTCCTTTCAGCAAGTATTGCTGGTGGTAGTCTTCCGCATCGTAAAATACCTTGGCAGGTAAGACTTCCGTCACACAATCCTCTCCAAATGACTCGATTGCCGAAGTCGCTACAGACTTTTGGTCATCATTGTGATAGTAGATACCATGTCGATATTGCGTGCCTCGATCATTTCCCACCTGATTCTTTAGGAACTTGTTCTCGCCCAATCGATCCATCATCAATTCCACAAGGCGTGCATAGGATACAACCTCGGAATCATACAACACCATGACAGACTCGGTATGTCCAGTAGAGCCAGAGCAAACTTCCTTATAGGTTGGATACTCACTCTGGCCCTGCGTATATCCAACCTTGGTACCAACCACTCCATTTTCTCTCATGAATGCCAGCTCGGCGCCCCAGAAACAGCCAAATGCAAAGGTGGCAACGTGTATCTTGTTGCTATCACTTAGCGGAGGATACAGAAATCCAGAATCAGGCCCAGTGACTTTGGATATCAGCTTTACATATGCGGAGTAGGATGCTCCTGCAAGTGGTGGATTGGCATCCACTTTGAAGCTTTCGTCTCCATTTCGTTCCGTCACGGTGGCTTTGATGCCATTTCCCATTACAAGTTCCACTCCTGGTTGAATTAATGAAATATCAATGCCACTGTTTTGAATGGAATCAAATGAAAGTGTCGCCTCCAAATCAGGATTCCAAGCACCCCAACCAGCATCCAAGGTCTGGTTGTGGACCGACTCCCCTTCGTTCAACGTGGATATCAGGTCGTGAAGACCGGGAAGGTAGTTGCCTTTTCCAAGGGCAAACGTAAGAGTCTTATTATGTGTTTCGTCATCATCCATAAAGACACCATCGAAGAGCGCCTCTGGCACAAAGCTTCCTTCTGGACGGAGATGGCATTCCACTGTCACAATGTCACAGCCAGCAAATGAGTCTTTGTCAGCACTTCGAATCATCGGAAGATCGCCATCATGAATTTGGATTAATGATTTCGATCTCGTAAGAAATGAAAGCTTGGGAGAGAATGGAAGGCCAACGGAAAAGAACAAAGCAATGATCGTCAAAGATTTGATCTTATTCTTGTGCGTCATCGTCGTTCAAACATTAAAATTTTGTGGTCGTCATTGAATGCGTGATGGGTAAAACAGTCCCCCATATAATGACGCAAAAGAGGGCACCCCACCAACTCCCCTAAGAAAAAACATATAAAAGGAAGGAGGCAATGAGGTTGGTACCGGGACTACTGAAGGAAAACAATAATCATAAAATCTACCGTAGACAATTCCTCCGTTCGGCAAACTACCTGAAACGACACAGATCGAAATCATTGAGTTTTAAATGAGAAAGAGATTCCTGTGGTTGGTATCATGAGACTTTGATAGTAAAACTTCAGGATTATTGAACTAGAACATGGCGAAGCATACAGGCAAGAAGGACACAGCAGGAAGCAATGGGTGGTTGAAGACAACAGATCGAAGAATATACTTCCCAGATCACACAGTAACACTCTACCCCGAATTGCAAATCCTGCGTCATTCCCCCTATTCTCTGAAACATACAGTACGTTCTTGAACTAAAGACTAAGAAAGTGCTTTGGCTGACACTTCCGGCAGTGACGAGCCACGACTTTTTAGGGGAATTTGTTGCAACACTTCAAACGACCTGACAACTTGACATTTAATGATTTCTGATCGTCGAATGCTTTGTCAAATGTCAAAGTCTATAAAATCAAAATTCGCCGGATCATGACACTTAATGCCAGATGGTTGAAGCAGCTGTCCCCTTCGGAGTGGCCGACTTGAGCAGCTGTTTGTTGATTGTTGATCAGATTGTATGGCTGCCGGTTCCAGAAAATGCCCACCGGTGGAGTCTTTTAGTCTTTTCATGCCAAACCAACCAGACGTTTTCAGGTTTCTTGTCATTGGTTTCCAACGAAAGCACAACACAATCGCAATCGCAATCGCATCGGAAAAGTGACAATGGGGAAGAACGAAGCTGCTAGTAACAACACTACACCAACTCAGGGAACAATATCGCCTGGTGGTCAAGGGGGCAAGGGCACTCCACCCTTCCCACCGAACAAGAAGGCAACATTCCACAACGTTTCCGCCACAGGTCTCGAGTTGGTGGCTCTCCCAAACTTCTTGCACAGCAACAGCACGCTATCCGAAGCATCAGAGACGTCCAGCTTGGGCCCAGCTCCTTCCTTGAATCTCAAGATGAGACGTTCTGAATCCTGCCCTAACGATATTGCCAGAACGCAACTGTTCCCACATGATGACTGACGATGCTTCCACCAAGGAAATATAGAATGGCTAGCGCTAAAAAAATCAATTCACGCACAATACCGACGAAAGCTAATAAGTAAGAAGCTGATCACCATGATCAACAGAAAACAAAAGAGGTGTAGATTTTAAAAAATAAACCTGTATAGACGAACCAGCTACAGCTATATACAGTACACTGAATCCTTCGATCCACGCAAACAAGAATGCAACGATGTGCACTTTCTTTCGGTCCGGTTTTTTTTGGTGTTCCTCGATTTGTTCTTGTTGTTTACAATAGTTTTGAACAACTTTCATCATCGTTCGCATTGCCGTTTTTCCGCTATGGGTTTCTGTCAACTTCAGCGTGCTACTATGTTGATGTGATAGCAGATGAGTACGGATTCAGCATTCGGGCTCGGCGTCTCAACATCTACGTCAATGCACGAACCCATCCTTTTTACGAAGACACCAAATCAGATGAGATATTTGTTCTTGGGTGTGCTGTGCCAATTGACGACCGAGTAATGCTGATTTGTAGGACCTAGTAGCATATAAGATTTTCTCCAATAAGCGGAACTGTACCTGGAACCTCGTACCGGCATCCAAAAGCAACTGGAGTAAAATAAGGTTTCTCCTTCCCAAAAGCAGCTGATTTAAAAGAAAGTGAAGTGTTATTTTACGTTTTACGTGGTACCATGAAACGGTATTCATGTGTAAATGCTTTCACTTTTGGTTAAATATATATAATATATAACCTTTTTCGGACAAAAGGTACGTGTACTAGTAGTCATGGTGCGTGATTGAATCAGGATTTTTACGCTATACAGTAAGAATGAATGGCATCCCATGATTACTTTTACCAAAATGCCCACCCACTGGAACGACGTTTGAACCACACCTTCGCTACGGCTATAATGAAACAACGCTGGCACTTGGTACTTGTGTCATTGGGTTTGCAGTCTAAAACACAATCACAGTTGTATTAGCAGAAAAAGAAAAATGTCCAAGTACGAAGATGGATACAGAACGCCACCAAGGGCACAGGGAAGCAGATCTGCTGCCCATTACAACGATGAGGCAAGGGGAACTCTTCCATTTCCACCACCAAAGAAGGCGAGATTCCACTATTCCTCATCCAAAGGTCTCACACTCTTACAACACACTTCATGGGACCACGAGCAAGGACGAGTTTCAGAAACGACGTCCAGCTTGTTGAGCATTCCACCTCCTTCCTTGAGTCTCAAGATGAGACGGCCTTTAACAACATAACCAATATCCTCCTACGCTAGTACTACGGATATCGCAAGAAAGGCATTGCTGTCGCATGAGGACGATGCCCCCTCCTCCACCACCATCATGGCACTTTGGATAAATAACAACACCTTGAAGCTGAGGAACTAAGCTTGCCACGACGATGATCAGCAGAAAGACAGAGGTGTACATAACAAAGAAAAAGTTTAGCCGTAACGGTTATACCCTTATTTCATGCATAGTACTACTGTGATTCATTTCCATCACTGCAAGTCATATGCCGAGCTACAATGGCTGCACTTCAATGGCTCTCATTTTAAAATTAAAAAATGTGGATTGCATTGTTTAGTCCATCGCCATCGGAAAGAGCCGTCAGTTGTGGTGAAAAATCCACTTCCTATCTGTGACTGGAAGTTTCGTCGTGTACTCGTCGACTTCTTGACTCAGGCCGTCAAACACAACTTCCAGCTGTACTTTCTGGCGGCCAACAAATGGTGTCAGAGGTCATATTCAATGTCAGTTTCACCGCGAACGACATCACCTTCAACTTCAAGGTATTTTGCAGATAAAAAGCACTTCCGAACTTGTTTCGCGGGGAAAATATAATATATCATCTGATCAAATCAAAGCGAGATTATTGTTTCCCACCGCACCGGAACGACGTTTGCCTCACAGCCAAACGAAAGAAAGACTTTTGGCTCACAAATTTGAAATTGTCATCAATTCCAAAAACAAACACAGGTAACATCAATGTCGAAGAACCAAGATGGAGCCTACAGAACACCAGCTCGGGGAAGAAAATCAGCAATCGACAGGTTGACTCCGCCGATGCCGCCATCCAAGAAACCAAGATTCGACCATTCTCCATCCAACAAAGGTCTTCAGTTGCACCCTCCAATATTGCAGCCAAGCATTCTATGTGCCAAACAAGTATCAGTGCTGTGCAACTTGAGCCCACCTCCTAAATTGAATCTTAAGATGCGACGATCTGAACGCGTGACACCATCGTCCTTTGCTACCAAGTTCCCAATAACGAAATTGTTTTCAAACGATCTTTGCTGATAGATGCGCTTCCGAAATTGCACTCATTACTATGGCTACATCGAGATACCGATGCTAAGCAAGTAAGAAGCGGATCACGATTATAAAAGGAAATTACCACGTGTAGATTATCGAGTATAGACACGAGTTGCTCACTGCAGCCAGGGGCATTGTTGGATGTGATGTGAACCATGAAATAATAGTATTGCAGTATCGGATAAGATCTCTGTTGTACGGTACCTAGAGTATGAGTACCACATAAATATACGAGTATGTTCTTCTACTGTATTCCAGCGGATCTTTTCTTTTTAGACACACTTCGCTTGGCGCTCGACACGGTTCCTGGTACTATATACAGTACAACCAGCTGCTTCATCGGACAGTCAAATGTGGAGGTAAGTATCAAGCCTGCTGGCCGGTGCATACTGAACTGATAGAGACCAGATGTTCGGGGTATTGCAATTTTTAGACTAGTGACAAAACGACTTTTGGCTCACAAATTCTTCACTGGGGCTAAACACAATCGCATCGCAAAATTACCATCAATGTCAAAGCACGAAGATGGACTGAGGACACCACTTCGAGGGAGAAAATATCCAGGTTTCCGTGTTGCAAAGGAAGACAGGTTGATTCCACCGCTCCCACCATCAAAGAAGAAGCCGAATTTCCACCACTTTTCACCGTCTTCTTGTCCCGAGGAATTGCGTCTCCCAATCTTGAGAAACAGTTTACGCCCCGAACAAGTGTCAGCGACGCCAGGCTTGAACCATCTTCCTTCATTGAAGCTGAAGAGGCGACGGTCTGAATGCAGCATAACGCCATCGTATCATGATGCTGCTACTAATTTTCCAAGAAGGAAGAAATTGCTTTCAGACGGTCATTGATGGGTGCCTCCGCAAGGAGCTTCGACTGGCTCAAGTTAATCATGCTGGTTATGATGCTCAATGAACAAGAGACACAGAGTGAAAGGATCGAGCTACGGTTGCTGCGTTTGAGCAATGAGTGATAGTGACTGTAGCCACCGCTAGCTAGTAGCTAGTCTATCCAAATTGAGCATCCGCTCTGGTTTCTGTTCCCGCATCGGGAATGGTTTGCATGGCCGCGAGGGTATATTCGTCTTGCAAGATTTTTTGGATTTATGACCCCGATCCGCGAATTTCCCACCCTTTCCACCCAAATTTTGGCATTTTCCAAAAAAATAGCACCATAGAGATCCAAAATGGTCATTTTGAGAAGACGTCGCATAACGACGCCGATTGGACAGATAGAAGCGCATTGGGCTGAGGATATCAGCCCTATGCTTGAAACTAATTCGCGCCAATTTTTGACTGAGGGAGGATGAAATTCATGACTCGTCATCATCATTCACGATGGCAACGCGACGTGGAAAGAGGAACGCCAAGGAGACACCTCCACGGTCCCATCACAAGAAGAAAAGAGTGTACCTTTGTACCCATGCAAGTGGAAAGCAGTGGTGTACGGCCTGTGACTCGTGTAAACGTTGTAAAGCTCCTCCTCGGCCAGATTTGCCAAACGACAAACAATGCCAAGCCCACACTGTTGCTACATCTACAAGAATCAGGAAGAAATCAATCAACGGCCTCGAATACTGCATGCCTACTGTCACACCACACAAAAGCGGCCGCCCAAAAAGGACAACCTACGATGACACCGTCGGGAAAATCCAACAGACCACAGCAGAAGACGCTCAAGTCGAAGCTGACGAAAAACTCCAAGCTGAATTGACGGCAATCAAGAGCGAAATGAAGGTGGAGAATGCCAAAACGGTCCAATGTATCAGAGAAGAATCAGAGGCGGAGGCTCTGAAATTATTGATCCAGACAAATGGCAAAGACGTGGAGCTTCCTGCCGAATTTTTCATTGAATCATTGAAGCTCAGAGCAGAGATTTTGAGGATTTGATCCGTGGAAGAGAGAATGAAAAGAGGGAGGCGGAAGAGGTCGAACATCAGCTGATTGTTATGTTGGAGAGCTACCTTTGTATCCGAGTTGCTGTGGCAGTTGATGACAACAAGCCGGCTGTTGGTCGAGTGGTGGATGTTAACCTCGTGAAAGAAGATGGCAAAACCGTCAACACTGCGAACTATATTGTCGAGTTTGATGGCGAGGTTTACTTCGAAGGCAACCGGACGGATCGCGTAGAACTGAACCAAGAACAGGTGTTGTATGCGATGGACTTCATGAAAGAAATTGAATCTTTTGAAGATGATGTTGACGAGGACGGCGAAGACGGTGCTTGTGTGCCGGTGAGTAGAGACTGGGATGAATTGGAAGAATATGTAGGCAACGTTGCGTAGGCTTGGTAATAGATCCAATGAATTACATTCCTTTTTGTAGGCTAAGCAGTGCAGTAGCAAGATTAAAATCCCATTCTGCTTCTGCTTTCAAGCAACGTGAATTTGATGTGGTTTTGGAAAAAACAGAAATCTCGGATGTTTTTGGGTTCCATTTTGGTTCCACGCAAAAATTCAACGAGGCGCCTGGTACTTTAGCAAGAATTTGCGCGCGAACCAGTATTTTCCGTACGTAATCAGACGTCTAACTCTTCGCGCACCTCTATGCGCCCTTCAGTTGAGATCGTCTTCAATCACATCAATTCTTCTTTCCACCAACAATGGTATGCCTTCAGGCCGAGGAAATCACCACCCTCGGGAGGAAAACTCTTGCATTTTGGAAGCGGCCTTTGTCGTGACCGTATCTATCTTGTTTGTATGAGGTGAAATGGACGAGTTTGTTCCTTTCACCTCTGAAATGACTGCAAAAGACACATAAACGAGGTCTGAAATTCGGTTTTTGCATGGATTTGGGACCCCACGCAGTCGCAAGGCAGTAAAGATGTCAAATTTTCTTCGGAAGTTGCTTATTATGTTATAGGAAAGACGGTGGTATCATTTGATGTGCGGTATCTGGGCTCCTACAGGACGATTTTCACACGACAATATTGAGTTGGGAATTCGTCCATCACAATGGGTAGCCGGTGTGGGCGCCCAGAGAAGTAAAAACTGAATAACATGTTATGGCAAGCATGTTTGATAGATGGACTATGGCTGGAGCGGCGATTCACTATTCCTTTCGCCTCCATTACACTACAATCTACCAAAATTCGCCAAACATGTTCTGTTGGGTTGCTTAATCTGGTCAGCAGAAGGTCAAGAGGGCAAGGCCTCATATGCAACATGTGCTGGAAAGCTTCGCAGTGACCATACCTACTCGGAGATCCATTCGGTTGCTTTTTCTATGGAATATTGGCTGAGATTTTTGAATCCGAATGTTTGCTGCTGTCGTGTCACCTGTCATCATGAGGGTCGGTGTGGCCGCCCTGGAGACAACTATACATTCAACAATACACCAGAAGGTCCCTTGGATACCTATTGTTTCTATTTTCTGGTTTCTTTACATTTTTTCGGCCTAGATCAAGAATGATCTAACAAAAATGGGAAGAGTTTTCAGTGAAATTCGGTCCAAAATGGGAAATGGTATTGGTGTGGACCGAATTTCCTCAGAATTCTTCATTCCAACATACAGTTGTCGTCCATGGGTATGTATGATGAGATTGGGGGGCTTGGAATGGGTGATTTCTACGTGCAAGCGATTCAATGGCAATCACCCTGCTACAGTGGTCAATCCAGGTTTATGAAACTTGGTGTCAGGAATCCTTCTCAGTCGCCGAGTCAGTACCCAGACACCATGGCACTAAGTTCAAAGTTGTCCAAATACCAACTAGTATCGACTTTGGGCGGTGTTTTGGAGTGCTGCGCCGGTAAATAGATTCTAGGCTAGCTTATTTTTTTCTCTCTTTCCTAAGGTTTCTCTTTGACTTGGTCGAATTTCCTTCCCTGTGATCGAATCTAGCCACTTTCGCAATTTAGAGTATGCAGAGGTCTAGTTTAGGTATATATTTATAATATCGCCGGGAAATTTATCTAAAAATGTAATCGCAACAAGGTCGTATGGTAGGAGATCGCCCTCTTACCTCTTGTTTTTCGTTTTGGTAATCACACGAGTCAAAATCGGAATTGACTCAATCGACTTACTAATTGACTCAATCGACTTGATAACGGTTTCTTTTTTAGCCGTTACACAAATGTTGTTTTCTGTAGTGAAGCCCCTCTACGACCTCCTAGCAACTTGGAATTTTTTACAAGGAATGGGCAAACTATTCTCTAGCGACCTGAAAAGGTTCTAGGTCCATAGCTGCTTTTTGAAATTTTTACTTTGTCACCAGAATTCCAAATTCCTGCCACATTTTGGGTTGGGAATTCGCGGATCGGGGTCTTATATTATAAGGCCGTTTTTAGAACAGAATCCTACTCCTATAAATAGAAATTAGGCTATACCGGTAGGAGGCAAGTCAGCAAGTCCACTAGCCGGGGAATATAGAGAGAGCGAGTCCTAGAGCCACACCAATTAGTTCAATGATATTCATTAGAACATGGATTCGATTGTTTGGACTACTGCTAGACTCTTGCCATGAAGTCGTGCAGAAGGCGATGTTGTGATGGATCCATCCTTTTGAATGACTTATTAATATTTATTGAAAAACTACCAGGTACTGTACCGTATCTCATCATCATCGATCTTGAATCTGCATTTCACTCCTTCCACGTGGATGTTGCTTCCTTCAACCGTCGAACGCACGTAACCGCACGATATTATGCCTTGTCACGTCCGACAATCGGACTAACAAAGTACTTTCACGTTGATTTTGTACCAAATTCGAAAATGACCAAAACAACAAAGATCATCAACCTTCGAACTTATCGTACCGGGACGGCCGGGACAATCAATATTTACTCACAAGAATTGTATGCTAAATTTCTATTTCCCGGCCGTTCCCGGTACAAGAAGTTCTTGTTTCAGAATTTCGGTCATTTACTTGTCGAATAAGTCAAACTATGAATCCGACTGACTGACTGACTGACTCAATCGAACATCGCGTTTTGTGCCGTTATTGTCGTCATCTCATGCGGCTATACGAATTTTCCTCGATGTCCGGTCTGCGCATATACGATCTTATTACATGATTGGGACTGCGTGCATGTGATGATGATGATGATGCAACCTCAGGATCATCGTTCATATATTCATTTGACAACCATACTCCAAGTCTGTATGTGAAAGGACGAGCCACTGTTGCTACGCTCACTATTGATATCACTCAAGTTTCCCTTGTTGTGTTTCGACATCTCTGATTTTTTGTAGAAAAAGATCTTGGATAAGACTTTGAACTATCATAATTTATTATCAATACGGAGACATGTCTCCTCATGATGTGCGATCCAGCCAACACCAGTCTCTAGATGGAAGTCATGAGGGCGAAGGATGTTGCGACAAGGATACCAGCAGCAACACTGACAATATCATTTCGGAACGAGTTCGAAGTTTCAGGGTTCGAAGGGACAGAATCGTCGCCTGTCGCAGTAGAGGAAGGTACTCCGCACGTGTCACCATCTGGATTACTGGACACGTTCATGTTCGTGAGCATACCGGTATCCAGATGAGTGGCTGCGTGACAGTGCACCATGACCACATCCTCTACTCCAACTCTGTCCCAGCAGATTTTGACATCAATGCTGGGGGCAAAAGTAGAGTAAGTATCGCGCCAGACAACGTCTTCGACTGCAACCCCGCCTTCAGCAAGGAGGTAAAACTTTCCAGCATGAGAATGGAAGGGGTGTCCAATAGGCGGTACAAATTCGACATGCCATTCTTCGCATGAATCGGCCATGATTGTTCCAGAAACGCGATTAGGAGTTCCGAGTGCGCCATCAACTCCGAATGCTACACCAGGAGGAACAAAATCTCCATCATATTCGATTTGAAAGAGGGGCCAGCCCTGCTTCTGCTCGAACGTAACATTCTTGTTGGCAGCGATGGGCCTTTCGCCCAAGCACTTGAGGCGATCAGAATATTCAGGCAACTCGATGCTATCAGCTAGAGGAGGAAGAGCATCAAGCGGCTCGGAAGCAGGCGCAACCGTGATTGTTCCGATTGGCTTATCAACGTCATGGGAAATGCAAGGGTATGCTGGGATTCCAAAAGCAGCTTGGCAGGCTTCAGCGTTGGGGATGATATGACTACCCCATGCCTCACGAGTCATGTTGTAAGTTCCAGCTTGTTCAAATCGCCCAATGAATTCGACGCGACCTCCAGAAGGGATCTTGACAACATCTGTTGGAATTGGCTCTGGTAGTGGTAGACCATCAACCGCAACTATATAGAAGGTCATTCCAGGAACCACAAAATTGTGATCTGGATCAACATTTGCAGAAATGGTCCGGAAGAGCACAGTTTCGCCTTCAGTGAATTCGTAGTTTGTCTCGGCTGCAAGGTATCCGTTTGTGATAGTTTCCCAACCGAATGACATTACAATCGGAAAAATTGGCATTGGAAAGTTGCCTTCGGGACTTTGCAAGTATTCCGAAAATAGCATCACTACTTCAGTGGCATTTTCAATTCCGGGAGCCTTGGTGATATCACTGTCGGTGCCTTCGATGATGATTGCCCCCATCAAGCTCGATAGATAAGCGTACACTGTTGCCTACAAAAGGTAATGATCGGAAGCAACAAGGGTCAAAGGGTAGGAAGATGTTAGGACAAAGTTGTATGTGGGAATTAACAACAGATATTCAATAGACGTACTCCATGGACATGGTTGTGGTACCAGAACAAGCCTGGTTCTTGGTCATCTGGAATCTTCACTTCGTAGACTTTGGTTTCGTCTTGACCAACATATGTCAGTAGTTCCTCCTTGTGGGGAGGATTTTCAAGACTGCGGCAGAAGCAAGCACAACCGAAATTTAGTCTTGATAGCAAATCACAAAATATATAGTACCGTGTTGTTGTTCTTACCCATGAAAATGCAAATTGCTATAGCCCAAACCCCAAAAGCCGTACTCAGGTGAGTAGACATTGCCAATGGCGGAAAGCCTGTTGTAAACGATGGTCTTATTGACATAGTCCTGGGGTGGAAATATTAGTAAGACTTGCAGACACACAGAGGAAAAATTTACCCCGAACTTGAGACCTGCTTACCGATTCCTCATCCATGACATACTCGTAGAGCTGTCGGTCGGTCGCAGTCGTTTCAAGACCGTTAACCAAAGTCACACGCAATGTATCTCCTGGACTAACACGCAACGTGGGACCCATGGGCTTTCCATTGTAGCCAGGTGCGACTCGAGTGCCGTTCAATGATTCTACCATCCCAACAGTTAGGGTAACTTCGAGCAATCCATTTTCGCTCTTGTACTCGTCAGCAGGGTTGCCCAAGTGTTCAGCAGAAACAACTGCGGCAAGTGTGGCAAGGAGAAAAGTTAAGGCAACCTTCATCGTTTTGATTTCGTGATATTTGTGTGAGAAGTGTCAAGTGAAAGATTGATTCTCGAACGAAGATCCAAGATACGTACCTTTGTAGGTACCTTTACGTGGATCTGCGTCAATTCTGGAGAAAATCGCGAAAACCGCGACTCTAAAACGATTGCCTGAATTCTGCATGAAGGCTAAGCTTCATGCAGGTATAATACCGTGTAGTCGATGAACACGAAGAATTCGAAAAGGGAATATAAATGGAAATAATTAGGAGGGAAGCATGAATGCTGCATGAAACCTCTGCTACTTAATAAAACACCAAAGATATGTTGCAAAGCGATTAAAAGCACTTCTGATCGAGCGCTGTGACATCTTGAGTACCGTACGTGAATAATCTCTGTTCAATACTTCATTCAGCTTTCCATCTGCTGGAGGAGGTCTCTGCAGTACGGTATGCAGAATCGAACCCGCAATCTGACGTGAACGAGTTCAACAACGAGTAGCGCGAAACACAACAGAGGAACGGCCGGGAAAATCAATATTTACTCCCAAGAATTGTATGCTAAATTTCTATTTCCCGGCCGTTCCAGTATTGCGTATTGCAGCTCCCAACCTCACGCCAGAAAGGACACACATTTGGTTTCGGGACTTCTTCGACACCTGAGCGTCTGACGGAGGCGTTACTGTAGCTAAAGCGCCTTTGGTGAACCCTTCTTTCTCGGACATGCTTGCGGGGACTATTCAGGTCCCTGAAATACCTCCTCGCTCCTCGAGTCGCTACAAGACACTGTAGTACCACAGCCATTGTGACGTTTGCATGCAATTGATTATTGTGTATCGAAGGAGAAGGCGCGTGTTATTTCGCAAAATGGTTTACGTTGGTCACTCCATGCTTTTCCGTTCCTTGTCCTCTACAATCACTGCATTGGCGATCAATCCAACACTTGTTGGCTCTTTATTACAGACTACAACCATCGGATGATGATCGTGTCGAACTTTACGACAACCACGGGAGCTAGAATGGTTGCTCTCGCATCCATCATGAAGAACCAAAAAGATCTGAAAATGGACACTCACAGGCCAATCAAAGATTGATCTCTTAGAGTCCCCTCCTCCTCTTGGAGCAACAACCGAACCCTTCAGTTTCACGTAAATTGTCCCGGATCTTTCGGAATGATTCTACAGGAGAGCAAATTCCCGAGCAAGGGGACGGCATTTGCTCCCGTGTGGCAAATGCTTCAAGCCCCTAGAGATGGCATGATTAGAGAAATCTTCGTTTCTTTATGGCAGAAAAATACGGTGCTTTCTCCGATCTGCTGGGTCCCCCGACAACGATGGACTGATAGAAAATTTCGATCATGAACCCAGGACGTACGCCAATGCATTTCCAGTCAGTATGTTCGAAGTCCCGATCTTCAAGGATGCCACGAATCAAGAGATTGTTGCATCTTCGAGCACAGGTTTCAGTTGGATGCCTTTGTTTGCTTTGTCTGGTGACGAAAACACGTCGTCTGTAGAGCATGTCGGGATCGATGACGGATGCACAAACCAGTTCACTGTGCATGTCACCGAGGAGTTTGTCTCCCAGTTTCGATAAACACTTTATGCAAGTTTCAGCGACACAAGGCTTGAATCAACTTCCTTTGTTGAAGCTGAAGAAGCGACGCCTGAGTGCGCAACGCCATCTTATATGCAACCAAGAATGCCCCGAGAAAACACTTGTTTCCACACGGTCAGTGTTGGTTTTCTGGAAAGAATTTCGACTAAATCACAATAAGGAAGTCAGGGAAGACACTGTCCACGCTGATAAAGCTGTCCAGCAGCGTGTAGAGGATAGAACAGCGTGTAGTATCCGAGTTGATCATTATTAGCAGGCTATCGGCAAGAATGGTCCGTCCACGTTGTCTGTGAGGATATCATCGTCTTGCAACAGCTTTCTGGATTTATTATGACACAGAACCAATCCTGATAGCCAAACTCAGTTCACGAGCAGGGATAACAAACCAAGTACTGGTAGGAGGGTAATAAAAATAATCTGGATTTTGCCGTTCTTTATTTCCTTCCACGTGGATGCAATAAGAGTAACCGTCGCACAGACTTCATATTTTTTTATAATAGCACGATGATTCTGCCACATTTACAGCACAGTATAATAGTGACGTCAGGACGATCATAGAGAAAAAGCGCCCGAACCGAACCAAATCTTGCAACGCGAACTCTGTGTGTCCGTGGAAGGCTTCGGTTGACAACTGAGGCGATGTCACAAAATAAATCATTGGCAGTCTCACAAAGCAAGAAATCATAAAATCAAATAATGGCTGCAACTATGGAAGAGAAAAAGGTAGAGGAACCTACCACAAATGCAAGCGAAAGTGCTGTGGAGTGGGTCTTGTGGCAGCACTATCTGCCACGATACGTCAAGAATGATCAACAGTGGAAGGATGACACCAGCGAGGTCGCTCATTTCTTTGCTCACCATCCAACGAAGACGAACCTAACGGCAGATCTTAGCCACTTGCCACTTCCTTCTGCACACTTCTTCTTGAAGAATGAACGCGGACACCATGAATTGGCACCACAGATGCACATGGAGTACAGTCTGTTCAAAGAAGGAACCGAACCAAGTTGGAGCGACGAGCACTGCAAAGGTGAACTCTACACCAAACACTACTTTCCATCTAACCTATTGGATCAATACTGGCATAATTTGGTAGAAGGAGTGATGAATGGTACGATTGAAGACCAGCACATTGTGGCCATTCGTGTCGTGGACAAATCACACGGCAAACATCCGCTGTACAAACTCGAAGTATGGCTCGACACTGCCCACCAACAAACGCGAGATAGAATTAGAATGCAAGCTATGAAGTGCGTCGAGCCCATCGTCGACGACCACCACCGCTTCAAGTTCCACTGGCGAGACTTCTCCAATGGTCCAAAAGCCAAGGCTATGAATAGCAAACAGGAAACGACGTTATCACATGCTGATGATCCTCTTGACTCCGATCCACTCGATGGATGGACCAAGGTGGTATAGTATTATGGGATAAATTTTAAATGCACTAGCATAGCTTGGTAATTGATAGATCTATACTTTTTCAATCGCTTCCATTTGCCCCATCAAAAATGACTGTTTCGACAAGGTGGAATTTTCATCTGTGGTGCTATGCGATTTTTCTAGATATCACTACTGTAACAAGATTTTTGTCGATACCACCGTTGTAGTTACATCCCATATATCTTATCTGTGTTCAATATATTACGCTGTTACTACTAGGTGGAAAGCTAACACTTAAGCCTTTTGCTGCCTCTTCTTTTTTTTTCGACAATCGAAATATGTGACTGAATGAATCGGCATAGCCAACTATAAGCAAGATACCGCTTTCAATATCATACTAATTTTTTGGTACCGGTACCTGGTACTTCATATTGAATTGCCGCTCGACTCCCCGGTTCCAAACGCGGCTTTAGAATTTCGGCAACAAAGTGCTTGTGCGCATCAGATTGGTCATAGGTATTGTAGTCCTCCACATTGTTGAAGTAGGCAGTCCAAACAATTTGTCGATTCTTCCCGGCCGGATGGTTTTGACCTGAAGGCAACACCAAATCTTTTCCCAATTCGTAGTCGGCAATGGCAGGTATGTTCTTGGGCAAATCCAAAAGACCATTGCAAACGTCTGAAATTTCTTCGGAACATTCCTCTTTTATACGGAACATGACGATATGTTTGATACGAGAGCTCATGATTGTAGATGATGATGAAAATTGACGGCGTAGTAGGGCTGAAGAAAGGTGCATATCTTATTCTTGTACTGCAACGCGAAGCCTGCCAGTACAGTATAAAGATGATGGATGTAACGGAATATAATAATAATGACGAACGTGATGGAACTATTGTAGTCCTTTCTCACTCATGACCCACGAAAATGACCGTTCATCACAGCCAAATCTTCCATCACAATAACAAAAACGCTCAACCAAGACACGTGGTCATTTTTGTGTTGTGTTGAAGATCATGTCGGATCAGTTAAGCGATTTCATCAAACGGGCTGAAGAGGAAGAGCTTGATGGCGAGTTCAGCGCTGAAGCTGCGGCAGCACTAGCTAAGGCTTTGCCCATTGTGTCTCCACAATTTCCTTCACTAGCAGAATGTTTGATGAGTGCTGAACTCTACGATGAAGCTGAAAAGTATTACTATGACGAAGGGGATGAGTTTCCCATCAAGTATAGCGGTGCTTTGAAGTCTATTGCCATTACTATGCACGATGAAACGGAATTCGATCCTAGTGAAGTGGAAGAGATAAGCACCGAACCTCCAAGAGGCTCCATTGAAGTCATTTTAGGAGATACGCCAAGACAAAAGGCTATCGAGAGGGAGCTTGACTTTTTCTGCAAGAGAGCGGCGAGAGACAATTTGGATGGTATTGAAATGCGCAGTGAAGCCATCAAGGCTCTCAAGATCGGTGCCAATCGTCTCTGTTACAAGAAGAAGTTCTATGATGCTGAGAACGACAAATTCATTGTCTTTCCCACCGTAACAGGGGCTCTCCTGGATCAAGAGATATACAATATTGCCCAGAAGAAGTATTACGGCCCACGCGATGAATTTCCGCTGAGGTACACTTCCGCCTTGCGAAGTCTTGCTGTGGAAGCTGGTGGAGCGGAAGAAGATCATGATGAAATTGAAGACATGGCCGCGGACTGTGAAAGTACGGACGGTTACTTTGACACCAAGCCCATGCCGGACATGTTCCATACAGCTCGTCTGGAATTCATGGGGACGCCTGACGCGCTCTATGAAAAAGAGCCAGAGGTCCAAAAGCAGGAAGACCCAGAGAATCCGGGTCGTGGATCCACAGCCAAGATCTTGGGTGATTCACCTCGTCAGAAGTGCATTGAGCGGGAATTGAACTTCTTTATCAAAAAGGCAGCTGACGAGCACCTCGATGAAGCCATGCGAGACGAAGCCATCAAGGCACTCAAGATCGCGACTGCCAAATTTGCCTACAAGAGAAAAATGTACGATCCCGCCGCTGACGTGATGCGAATCTTTCCCAGTGTTGCAAACTGTCTGATTGACGGTGACGTCTACGAAGAAGCCGAAAAGCATTACTACGATAAGGGAGATGACTACCCTCTAAAGTACATTGGCGCTCTCCGCACCCTTGGTGTCGAGCTGGGTGGTGCTGAAGAAGAAGTCGACGAATGGGATCAAGTCGCCATGGACTGCGAGAGCGTGGATGGATTCTTCGATAAGAAGCCATTGCCACAGGCGTCGGAGTTTGAATTTTCCGAACACAACATGATGGAGGTTGAGGAAGAAACAGAGGTGACCCGTGGGTCCACTGCCAAGGTCTTGGGTGATTCTCCCCGTCAGGTGTGCATTGAACGTGATGTCAACTTCTTTATCAAGAAGGCACAAGATGATCACATTCCAGATGGCATGCGAGACGAAGCCATTAGGGCCATCAAGATTGCTTGCAACCAGATTGCTTTCAAAAAGAAGTATTACGATGTTGAGAATGATAAGTTCGTTATCTTTCCAAGTGTTGCAGCCTGCCTGATCGACCAGGCTACCTATGATGCGGCATCAAAAAAGTATTATGGACTGATGGACCAGATTCCTCTCCAGTATGTCTCCGTACTGAGAAGTCTGGGAGTCGAAGTCGGTGGAGCTGAAGAGGATTACGAAAAGCTGGAAGATATGGCCGCGGACTGTGAAAGTACGGATGGTTTCTTTGACAACAAGCCGTTGCCTGATCTTTATCGTACAGCTCGTCTAGAATTCATGGGAATGCCAGACGGATTGGAATATGCAGAAGAACCAGAACCTGAACCGGAGCCAGCTGAGACTCGGGGCACTACAGAACAGTTCTTGGGCGATTCTCCTCGTCAAAAGTGTATTGAGCGTGAGCTTGACTTTATCATCAAGCTGGCAGCCGAAGATCATTTGGATGACCCCATGCGAGACGAAGCCATCAAGGCCCTCAAGATTGCTACCAATAAGTTTGCCTACAAGAGAAAGATGTACGATGCCGCTGCTGACGTGATTCGAGTCTTTCCCAGTGTTGCCAACTGTCTGATTGATGGCGACGTCTTTGAAGAAGCTGAAAAGCTTTACTACGACGATGGAGATGACTATCCCTTGAAGTACATTAGTGCTCTTCGCTCCATTGGTATCGAACTGGGCGGTGCCGAAGAAGAGGTCGAGGAATGGGACCCAGTCGCCATGGATTGCGAGAGCGTGGATGGATTCTTTGACAAGAAGCCACTGCCACAGGAATCGGAGTTTGAATGGGACCTTGACGAAGAGGAAGTAGAGGAGGAAGAAGACAATGGCCGAGGCTCTACTGCTAAAATCTTGGGTGATACACCTCGGCAAAAGTTGATCGAGGCAGAAGTCGATGCCTTTGTGGCGAAATCACATGGTGAACATTTGGAGGATGAGATGAGAAACGAAGCCATCAAAGGTCTTAAACACGGAGCCAACAAGTATGCCTACAAGAAAAAGTTCTATGATGCCGAGAAAGACGTATTTGTTGTCTTCCCCAGTGTTGCTTGGTGCATGATCGATAACGATATCTACGAAGTTGCCGAGGAGCATTACTATCAGAAGGAAGACGAATTCCCTCTCAAGTACACATCAGCAATGCGAAGTATTGGAATTGAAGCAGGCGGCGCCGATGAAGATGTCGAGCACATGATGGAGATGGCCATGGACTGCGAAAGTTCGGATGGTTTCTTTGCCACCAAGCTTGAGGCCTTTGTTGTACCGGAAGAAGTTGCTAAAAAGAAGAAGAAGAGTAAAAAGAAGAAGAAGGTTGTTGTCAAGAAGAAGGGTAAAAAGACTGGCGACACAAAGAAAAAGTCGAAGAAGACTGGAGACGATGCAAAGAAGTCCAAGAAGACTGGGGATGGCGACAAGAAATCCAAGAAGAGCGGAGATGGCGACAAGAAATCCAAGAAGGCGAAAGACGATGAGAAGAAAAAGAAATCATCCAGATCCAAGAGTCCAAAACCAAAATCGAGCAAGCCCAAGAAGCGACCATCGACAGATGCATGAACAAAGAATTAAGATTTTAGAGGATTCATCATAGTTGTACCGACTCGTTGCTTGCATACAAGTACCAGTGTTGTCTGAGATCCTGATTCATTGCTTTCAGTCTTCGATTCATGCATATTATGATCATTCGCATTATGTTCGCGAAGAGGAGAAACAGAGAACGGAAATGAAAATGAGAAACTCCACCATTACCAAAACGACGGACGAACAGTAACAGAAACCCGGATTTTCTGAAGTTGACAGGTCAAAAATGGCTCTTCATAAATATAAAATTTGAAACCGACAGAAATAGGACATTCTGCGATCATCATATTTTTTTTCACGATTCAACAATAGTACTTGATTTACATACAGCCGTGATCAAGCCCTTGTTCGATTCTGATCGAAGCGACCTCGTGCAACACAACTATGTTCGGCCTTAAATAAACTCGGCTCACGTCTGGTGCACGTCTGGATTTCGGCAGTGGAAAATTCCTAAAGTGATCACTCTTCGTCAGGCCGTCAGCTCAACATTACTCAAATCCAACGTTCACAAATCAATCATCATATCCAAACTCCAACAGCAACAACTCACAAATCCAACACTACATCACATACACACAAACAAAAGTAATCATCATGAAAGATACTACTAATAATACCTTCAAAAAGACTGTTGAACTGAAAGACGCTGACGTTGTCTGCGGTCGCGGTGGACTTGCCAACAAACATCCTGGCAATCGAATTCTTCGCCGAATCTGCAGTGAAAACAAGTCGCTCTATCAATCTACCATGAATCCTGCCCACAAGCAATGTTTGATCGCTTCCATTCTCATGGCCATTCAACAGCATGGAGGAAGGTTCGTCTCCCGCACCAAGAGTGGACTCTGGGAAGAAATCTCGGATAAGAAGGCCAAGGAAAAGACGGCCCAACTATTGAGAGAAAGCGACGCTCCCATTACCAGCATGACCAGCAAGCCAATGACCATCGCACGAACCAAGCCTGTGGTTACAATGGATTCAAGCAGGAACGACTATATGACTCAAACTGAAGCTCAACTGCACCAACCCATGCTCATTCCTCCGGAACCAACTCTTCCAGCACAAATCAACTTCAATGCCAATTATACTGCTACCCACCACCGCCAGGTCACCCCCGACACTGTTTCCAGTGACGATTTTAGCTTTCCCATGCAAACTTTTGTTCCGGGAACATTGCCACTCCCATTGCCACCGGCGCCAGTGGCTCCAATGGCACCCACGCGGGCCTTTGATGATGGTGATCTCTTTGATTTGATTCCATTGGAAGCCGCCGGGAGCTATGGCATCGAAAGCAACCCAGAGTTCCAAGACTTGTGTCATGTCTTGAGCGCGGCATGCTGAAACGGCAAAAGCTGCAGCTGTAATGATCCAATCCCCCAACCAACAAATACTGGGCTAACCCTTAGACTAGACTATATTACACATTTGCTATCATTACTATTACCCTTATATCTTAGCTTGGCGTAGGTTAGCTTGATCATGATTCACTATCAATCGATCATTCATCATGGCAGATCATCTTCCACGACTGCAAGATTTCTGGAAACCCTTTATGGATTTATCTCGCGGCCAATAATGGCAATGACACTTGTTGTATGTGAAACGAATGACGACTGAGTATTAGAGTATAATACTCTAGTACCGAAGGCCCGCTATCAATCACTTCTCTATCACACCCCCCGCGCCAAAGCGACACACACACGACACATGCTGAGCCATATGTAGTATCCTTTTTTCTTACTTTCGCCTAAACAAGTCAGAGGTACGCGTGCGTACCAAAAAACATGCGGTACAGTAGACCTGGCAGTGGTACAGGTATGTACCTAGAAAATAAATCTTGTCTATTACTGTTGAAGAAGAATCATCAACACTTCACGTCAGTCGCGGTAGTCTGTAGTGATCGTGTCAATGTTTGATGCCGCATGACAGACGACGTATGTACTTCGTTCCTCAGTCACATGTGGCAGATGGCAGACCTCCCACTCACTCTAAAATAGGCAGACACCATAAACATCTTAAAATAGAAAACTAAAGAAGTCTCAAAACATGATCACTACAGAGTTTCAGTCGCGGTAGTTTCAGCGCGGTATTTTCAGCCGCAGTAGTTTTGAAGATGTAGTTTCAGCCACGGTACTTTCACACGTTGAATCCACACAACACCGCAATTGCCGCGTCTGCTTCCGGCGTGCATGGTTACTTTTCCCTAAACGCACACAATTCCTATAGTCATCATCAATTGAAACAACTTTTTTCTGAAATTCATCAACCAAGAACATGAAGCAACCCGACGTCGAAGCCCCATCTACCGCCCCTAATACCCCCCAAAGACAACCGATTGTTAGAATCGCCGGTGCCAATACAAACGGACAGATCTACGGGGCATCCAACTACATGAAGGCCGGTACCTATGGCAATGTTCTCTTGGGCGAAACCGAGTTCGAAGACTTCGCTCCTGCCCGATGTGTCTGCTGTGGGTGCTTTGTCAATGACAAAATGAGGAAGCGCACATACTATCGCGTCTATGAGAACCGTTTTGAGTATAACGAAGTCAACGCTCCCTGTCTTTGTTTTTCCAAGGAACGTTGTATTGGAGATTACACTCGTGTTCATTACTTTGACCAGCAGCCTTCTCGAAGCGCCAACGTTTGCGGGTGTATTCCATGCATCTGTTGTGGACCACCGGTTGTCTATTACCATGTCCCCAAGTTATGGGGCTGCTTCGATCTCCGCAGTTGCTTCGGAGAAGGGGTGTATTCTTCTCCATGCAACTGCTTTGACTTGAGAGTCTTCATTTGTATTGGACGTCCGTGCTACCAGATGTGGGCGTGCCGTCTGGCTCGCGGTACCAAGAATACGGAAGCATTCGTTTCCAAGTGGCGTGGTGCTGTCGAAGAATATGGCAGTTCTCGTGGTATTCCAAAAGAACAGCAAGCTGTCTTCCGCAAGAACGTCGACCGTATTTGCAGTTGCGATTATGCTCGCACCGTTCCTGCGACTCATCCTGCAGATGCGGCTGCAGCTGCAGGTGCACCTGTAGCTGTGACCACAGGGCATACAATGGAACGTTGAGAAACTCATATTCGCAAACGAGCGGCAGTCAAACGTTTACGATGCCGCATTCTTGAAATGTCCTAGGTGACCACGCCATCTTCATATTTGTAAAGTGTAATTGAAAAAAAAAGTAGTTGATCTCATCAAAACACCAGCGCAACGTTGCCTGAAGAGGTTGTTTGAATCGTTCTCTGAACAGGAGCGGACGCATATTTCTCCTCCTATAGCCTCAGAAACTTCCAATTTCCATAGAGAACAATCACCTTCCAGCAAATATATGGTTCTTGAATTGCACATGTTGTTGCACTTTGAACTGGAGTCGCTCTTCATCTTATTTGCGTCATCATGGTTATCACAGTAAAAAATGCCGAGGCGGGGTCATCAGAACGACATGCTAGATATTGCAATCTGCTCGGAGCAATTTCTTCTGAAAGGGTGCGTTCCAATTTTAAAACCCCACACATCAGCTTGACATATATTGATCCCCTGGAGATGATGATTGCGGCGAGCGCGCATTCCAATCGTGCGTTCCGCACGAGGTCATCGTATATATATATAGAGCTATAAAATAGGACAGTACAAAAAATGAAGGAAGGGAATGCTGACGCCTATATACTGACGAATAGTCACCATTGGCGCAATGGCCTTTGTGTTTGGGCATCATGACACCCTTTCATATGAATATTGTCGCTATTAGTGCATATCCCCAACGCTGTCTTCACTGAACTATTGGAACTGCTTCTGAACGAGTACCCTATCAATATGCATGGATATTCTTATACCGCCGGTAGTCGTGTTCGAATGAATGATGAGTGGAGCGCAGAGGACGTGGTCCTATACTTCCAAACGTGATTGGGTTTCTTTGGAATAACAATGGCAGCAACAAGCCAATGATTCGCCTGGATCTTGTCTGTGGTCCCCGTGTCGCGGATGAACCAAAAGTTGCTATTATAATGCGACGTCCCACCACTATATATATATATATATTGGAAGAAGCAAAACGTCCAGCTATTATATTTTAGAAAAGATGCTTTGACATTTGGCTTTGTGCTACTATTGTCGTTTTTTTTGGCAATGTACAGCTCTATCTATAGCACTATATTGTTGTGTTGACAAGCTGACTGATACACTCTAGCCATAAACGAATATTCACACTATTACAGTATTGTATGCTCTCTTGTCGTGTAGGTCTCCTCTTAGGATTGTCAGGCAGGCACTTCAAAGGTAGCTGTGGACGTCCGTCTGTTTAGGATTCCACCAACGACGTGGTCGAGTACACGTACTGGCGGTATTTGAGGAGTGATCACGGCAGTGATAATCAGGATGATGATGATTTGCCATGTATTGTATTGTATTTCATCATTTCGAAAGCTCTCATCATCATCCCATCAATCAGTTTGGTCATTTTTTTTCTCCATTTCTTCAGGAGGACACAAATATTTGGCGTAGGTATATATGGCGAACCATACCATCGTACTACCGTATGAATATCAATCATACAACAATAATATCATTCATATGGAGGCATCCATATTCAGAATTGGTGGTAGACTGGTAAAATTGGTGGCGATCCCAATGGAAAAGAGCAAACTAATGGCACTGGCCGACCTTCTCATTGCAAAGTCAATGTTGGTCGAATTGTCTTGCTGCTGATCCGACGAAGCAGTATTGTTGTCGTCGTCATTTTTATTATTGTCATCATCTTGTAGCATTTGATGATGATGCTTATGATGATGATGATCGTCCCACAAGGATACCTCGATGAAGGGTGATGATGATGATGATGATGATGATGGATCCTTGATATTGTTAGCTTCTTCCTGTTCATCATCATCATCATCTTCTGAAAACGACAACATCAACAGCTGCCGATGATAAGGAACTTTGTAATCCGATGGTGGACAATCCTTGGCAGATTTGGTAGAGTTCCGAGTCAATGACCAATAGGGTCCGTTGACCTGTTAAGAATGACAATGATTGATGATACAGTAGTTGTTAGCACGAATTATCACGAAACATGTATAACATATATAGCATATATAGCATATATAGCATCGCATTCATTCATTCATTCGTTCGTTCATTCGTTCCTTCACTTACATGACACCATCCATTTGACACTTGCAAAGTGCATTCTTCTTTACTGGTACTACTACTCGTCGCTGTACTAGTATCCAATAGCGAACAGCAAGACCCCACAAAGGAAGACGCTTGCAGAATGGTTTGACAACTCAGAGGATATCTTTCCTGAAAGAGACAATCCTGACATTCTGCGTTATTATTATCATTATTATTATTATTATTATCATTGTTGTTGTTCGTTGTTGTTGTTGTTGTGGTTGTTGCCTCATCATCATCTACTCGTCGTGGTCCTACTACCAACTCGTGTGGAAGGACGATGCTTGGTAGTAGTAGTAACAAGAATGCAAAGGACGTCCAAAGCCATTTGCAAAGACTATGATAGCCCCACATGGCATGTATCGACTGTACGTATCGCTTCCCCTTGTGGGTGTTCTTGCTTATTGCTTATTGCTTGGTTCGTTTTGCAACTTGCAACACTATCTACCGGTACGCATTGGACGAGCGCCAGAATCCAGAAATTCCGTGACGCGATCCTTCCACAACAACAAAAATTCCTGTCGAAGTTCTCATCTGCCTTTCGGTCCAGTCTGTAACCCGGATCCATACGCAAAGTGCAACTGTTGCTAGGCTGGCGCCAAAATACTTATGGGCAAGATTTCACGGCAGATGGAAGCGAGTGTTTTCATTCGCTAAAAAGTCGTGTGAATGAGGTATTTGGTGGTGGGTGAAAAGAAATGACAGCTTTTGATGGGTGGTTCCTGTTCTATAAGATCCATCCAAAGAACATCACACACAATACATAAAATATAAAAAGAGAGAGAGAAGAAAGCTAACGTCTAGCAACCAAAGCCTCGTCCTCTCACATTCCAACAGCACAGCACAGCGCTGCTTCCCTCAGAATAATATCATCACCATGACGTTACAAGCATGGAGCTTTCCATCAGGAGTGCTCAGCGTCCTGTCCGCAATCCTTCTTCTTCTCCTTTCCAAAGAATCCGATTCCTTTCTTCTTCCGGCATTGCATCCACAAAAATTGAATACTAATCATTGGACATTGTCTCACAATTCTCTTACCACCAAGACGTTGTTACAGTCCAAAGACGGAAGGATATCGTCGTCTTCTGAATTGTACTACAACAAGGCCTTTGGCAACAATGAAGACGAACATCAGCAACAACAACAACAACAACATGACATGCAGCAAGAGTTGCAACAACAAGAGTTGCAACAACAAGAGTTGCAACAACAACAGCAACAGGAAAACCCCATTCCTGTCAACGAACAAACGCGCATGTACCTGGTCCGCAAACTCCAACACTTGTATTATCAAAACGAAACCACCGGACTGGCCGATCACGATCACTTTGGGATTTATCAGAACATGCCCATTTTGAGATCTACTCGCGTCGAATTGCCCGGCTTTCAATCGCTGTGGAACATTACGGATCCGCTCGAGATTCACATGTTTCTCAAAGTGTGCAATTCCGAATCCAATCATTACTTTGGACATTTGCACATGGCCGACGAATACTCCTCCAAAGAGATTCGAGACTTTACGTCGTCTCCCGGCATGACGACCTTTACCGACCAACCTAATGGCCAAGAAGAAGAGCAGAGTCAAGCTGAGAAGACCAAGGCAGCCGAAGAAGCCTTTCGGGCTCATTTGAAAAAGCAACAGGAATACGATTTCTATTCCCGCAATCGGTACAAGATTGGTACCCTCATGCAAGTCTCGGATTGTCATCAAGATGAAACCACGGGACACTTGTTGGTGTTGGTCCAAGCCTTGGCACGCTTTGTCGTCGTGGAAGGATCCATGGAACAATGGAATTGGTTGTCGCTCGATCAATTTCAGCAGCAGCCATTGAGTAAGGAAGAAATTATACTCCGCAGCCATGGATACAAACCTACGGTGCAACGAGCCTCGGTCGAACTCTTGCCGGACGAAGAATTCGTCCAATACTTTACCCAAAAGGCCAAAGAGACGGCCGACAATTTTGATTTCAGCCTCAATCGTGACGTCCAAGGTGCGGCCTGTGCGGGTGCCATTGCCGAAGCCTCCGAATGGCGATTCGTGGAATTCGAACCCAAACGGATTCCCATGCCCGGACAACTTTTGGATCCCGTGGCCAGCATGATGTCCCAATTGGCATCGGTACAAGTCCAACAAAAGGTCAAGAGTACCATGGAAGAATACCTTAGTCAACCACCTTTGGAAATGCATCATGGCGAATGCAGTTTGTACTCTACCAATGACGATGGTAGCAGTATGATTGAGGAGGATCATGATTACCATTACAAGGACGATTCCTCGAATGACAATACGGCAGTCATGGCCAGTCTGTTGGCCCAACAACACGTTCTCGATGTCGAACGTAGAGTGTGGTTGGAATTGGACAAACTCGTCAAGAATTTGCGCCTGCTCAATCCACGTTCCAATACTCAAATCCCCGTTCCCAATCAGGTGTTGAGCCTCATTCCCACCTTTTCCGATTGGCCCGAAGACTTTGGATTGGCGCTCTATGTGAGACAATTGGTACGCGCCCATGGAGTCTTGGCCCGCAACAAGTACAAATTTTCGAATGGATTTCAATTGGTCCCACCCGATTATCCACCCTTGCGCCGAGCTCGTCGATTGTCGTACATTTTGTGGAATGTCTTTTTGGAACAGGATACCATGGACGTTCCCTCGGGGGAAATGCAACGTGTTTTAGAAGTACATTCGATTGCCAGTCGATTGGAAGCGGGATTGCTGCAATTGCAAACCATTAATCGTATCTTGCAAACATTGATTGCTGGGAGTTGAGAAGAGTATTGAGTGTATGAGTATATATTCTTCCTCGAATAGAGAGACAATACAAACATCATGAGAATTGTAGAATGAAAGTGTATACATATAGAGATTGGACAAATTATAATCTTATTTTTAATATTAGTATTATGTATTAGTCCTATCGTACGACCATTAAAATATTATACATTTTATATGAATACTTGTAGTAGTTAGTGCTCGAAGAAAGATTCCACCTAATTGGTACTATACTATGGTTGAATTTGTTCCTTCATATACCCTTCCCAATGGTAGCTCGATCCTTTTCTGATGGGTGCCCTTTGCCAACCACTTTGTTTCCAATCGCAAGTGCTATCTTGTAAAATTTTACAAGTGTCCAATCGTCAGTGCCAAACTGTAAAATTTTGCTGCGTCCTCAAACTTTGACTCGGTCTTTGATAGATCAGCCTTTGTGATCAAAATCTTGACGAGACCTGAGTGATCTCCTTGAGAATTCATCAGCGACTTTTCATACTGCTCCATGGCTTCCTCATATTTGCCTTGACGGTGCAAGACATTTCCAATCGCGTGATATGTTGCTGCAATTTTGGGATGATCCGGTCCATATGCCTTCAACATGATGGCAAGCGACCTTTGATACTGCCCCATGGCTTCCTCATATTTGCCTTGACGGTGCAAGACATTTCCAATCTGGTGATATGTTGCTGCAAGTTTGGGATGATCCGGTCCATATGCCTTCATCTTCATGGCAAGCGACCTTTGATACTGCTCCATGGCTTCCTCATATTTGCCTTGACTTTCCAAGATGTTTCCAATCTGGTGATATGTTGCTGCAATTTTGGGATGATCCGGTCCATATGCCTTCAACTTGATGGCAATCGACCTTTGATACTGCTCCATGGCTTCCTCATATTTGCCTTGACGGTGCAAGACATTTCCAATCTGGTGATATGTTGCTGCAATTTACTTGATGGCAAGCGATCTTTGATACTGCTCCATGGCTTCCTCATATTTGCCTTGACGGTGCAAGACATTTCCAATCTGGTGATATGTTTCTGCAATTTTGGGATGATCCGGTCCATATGCCTTCAATTTAATTTCAAGCGATCTTTGATACTGCTCCATGGCTTCCTCATATTTGCCTTGACGGTGCAAGACATTTCCAATCTCGTGATGTGTTGCTGCAATTTCGGGATGATTCGGTTCAAGTGCCTCCAATTTAATTTCAAGCGATCTTTGATACTGCTCCATGGCTTCCTCATATTTGCCTTGGTTTACCAAGACAATTCCAATATTATGATAAGTAGATGCCATTGTCGGATAATCATCACGTCGGAAGAATTTCTTTTCAATCTCCAACCGCTTTTCAAACAGGTCCATGGCTTCGTCAAACTCCCCCTCGTCCAAAAGGTGTACTGCAATGTTATTGTACGTTACAGCCACATCTGGGTCGTTCAAAGCCTCTTCCAAACCCTTTTCTTTCAATTGTTGGTCAAGTTCATTCCAGAGACGTTTTCGTTCTTGATCAAATTTCTGTTCTGCTGTGTCAACGACTGGTCTTGTGGATGAGGGCGCATTACTTATTTTATTATTCTCCATTCTGGACGCATGTTGTGCGATATCTCGATTTAATCTTGACCAAAACGCTGGCTTTTCTTTGCTTTGTTGGACAATGCCCCTTTGGGTGCAAGCCCGATCAATCTCGGTTTTGGACGCAGAGCTGGTGGAGAAGACGGAGCTGGTAAATTCAGAGGCTGCATCACCGACTTCATTTTTCCGAGAACCTACTGCAACAACATCAGGAAATTTTTTTTGGAAAATGAAGTCCTCTTGCACTTGTGAAGCTGCCTCTCGATGACGAGGATGATGATCATCACCACAATCACCACAATCACCATCATCACATGATGAAATTTGATCAGATTTTCTTTTCATCATCTTGCCTGTTTTCGATTGATCAACCGTCCCAATAGTGATATGAGGAAGACTGTCTTCTTATATATTGTTGCCAGATTATGACAACACCTGCATGTATGTTCGTATACCGCAGCCGCGTAACATGTTGATCCTACTGGTTTCATTCACTAGTTCGACTTCCTATTCGAAAATGACCGCGACTGGCCTTTTATATATAAAGTACCTGGTACAGTACTGGTCGACGTAGGATTTCAATGCGTCTCGCATGTTCATGTCGCATCCATGATCGATGGCGCGTGCGGGTCTCATCCTGAAATAGAATTATATTCTAAATAATTTTCCCAGCTTTTTGTTGGCATTATATTATCTGCGCATCACAGTTTCACCTCTCGCCTCATAAAATGCGAATATCATACCAGGAACGCAGAAACGATGACATCTAATCCTGAACCTATGGCATCTAATCCTGAACCTGAACCTAACCCTGATTACGACATTCGTCCTGGCCAGGAAAGTGCAAGCCGTCAGCATCCTGGAAATAAGAACTTTTTGGAACTAGTGAAAGCCAGCTATGAAGACTATTACCGGGCAGGTAGAGCTGGCAAAAATGCTGAGGGCAGCGAAAAGGGCCGCATCGAATTTTCAATCGTAAAGGCGGTGCACGATAAAGGTGGGCGTTTCTTGACCAAGGATGACAACGGAAATTTGGTTCCGATGACAGTTCGAGAAGCCATGATCAAGACGAGGGCTGCGTTGATCGGTCTACACTTTCGAAGAAGAAGAGTTGCTGCTGCTAAGGCCGCTGCTAAGACCGCTTCCCATGCTGCAACAGACACTCGAACACAAGCCACTGGATCGACAAGTCACATATCGTTGATGGCAGTGGAAACGAGTCAAGAAGAAGAGCTTGAAGCATATTGTCGAAATCAAAATATGAGTTCCGAAGAGTATTTAGAATATTTAGATTCTACAAAGTTGGAGGAAGACGTAGCCACAGTCAAATCCAACTCCGATCGATCAGCGATCGCATCCGTTCTGAGTAATATGAGCCTCACGTTCGACGAACTGAAAGATATGGTGGACAAGATAGAATGTGTCACCGACATGGAACTGCCGGGAAACAACTTTTATACTGGATCTATAATGAATTCCCTTCCATATGGACGAGGCCTTATGACCTACAAGAACGGTCGAATCGCCAGTGGAGATTGGTATGTTTTGGTCGTGCTGCTGCTGCCGCCGCTGCTGCTGCCGCTTTTATTTCCAGTGTACTTAACAAATTCTTTCTCTTTCTACCAAAGGGTTATGGGCAAACTCCATGGTCAAGCATTTGTGCTCCACGAAGATGGGGGCTACTACTATGGCTTATATTCGGAAGATAAGGAAGTTGGATGTGGAGTGCGCTATCATACTGATGGATCAACATTCGTCGCATCCGTTGCGAATGCTGCCAGTAGCAACCTCACAAGAATCGATCGACTGCCAGATATGAACAAGCTTGCATTTTGCACCAACATGGAACTGCAGGAAGGCAAACGATACACTGGATCCACAAAATTTGATGAATCCACAATGTCTTACGTTCCACATGGGCGAGGCATGCAGATGATTGACAAAAGGGGTCAACTCATCAGTGGAGATTGGTAGGTCTCGTCTGAGCCGCTGCTTCTTTTTTTTCCAATTCACTTTAGTCCTCGATACTCAACATTTTTTTCTCATTCTATCAAAGGTATAATGGCAAAGTCGATGGTCAAGCATTTGTATGTTACGGAAATGGTGTGAATGGTGGCTTCTTCTTTGGAACATATGCGGGGAGTAGAAGAGTTGGATATGGGGTGCGTTATTACGCTGATGGATCAAAACATGTTGGTCCCTATTCCAACGACAAGCCAAATGGGAGGGGCAAGCGTACCTACAAGGATGGCAGCTCTGAGGATGGAGACTTTACTGACGGGAAGCTTGACGGCTACGTCGTCAAGACATCCAGGGATAAAATCCAAACTGTATGGTACTACAAGAATGGCATTAAGAGAAAGGAATGGACGGAGAAGGTTAGCAGAGAGCGAAAGGATGGGGATGTTGCTGAAGCAAGCCCCACCAAGAGACATAAGACAGGAACATCTTTCATCTGAACCATGAAAAAAGAAGAAAAGAGTAAGAGAAGAGAAAGTCAAACAAGATGAATGCCAAACAAGATGAATGCCAAACGCTGATTAGGATTAGGATCAGGACCTGTATCAGGAGATTCATAGGATTGACTAGTGACGGACGGAAGACTGAATCAATCTGTTTGAAGAACAGAAAAAACAAAAGAAAATTATATTAGGATTGGTCTATATACTAGATGTAATATATGGTGGACTGACTCGCCTCCTTACACCCCCGCTCAAATCCCCCCCCCCCCCTCCCCGTCAAATCTTTGTGCAACCATCAGACTTCGGTGATGATTGGTCTACCGATATGTGTCCGAGGCATGTGTGCAAAATGGTACATTTCTACGCGACCGCAAAATACAAATAGAACGCCACATACCGCGGATTCAAGTTCACCCGAAAAAGATATCTTGAAAAATATTTTCATCATAATACCGGTACCGCAGTATATCAGTCGCGTCAAGATGATGAAAGCTGTTATTATTGTTGTCTCATAAAATGTGAAAAAAAGTTGATACTCAAACAGAACAATGACACTTCCGACGAGAAACGATGTAATGGCTACGAGAGGATTATGTGCTAATCAGCACCCTGGAAATCAGTACTTCACGCAACTTGTGAGAGACAGGTTGGACGAGTACATCAATACAAATAGAAGAGCCAGACGGCCCATCATAGAGGCAATTGTCTCGAGAGTGCAAGCTACTGGTGGGCGTTTCTTGAGATATGTTGGCAATGGGGATTGGTTGGAGATAACGAATAAAGACGCAGTGAGCAAGACCTCGCACTACTTTCGCGATGAAGCAAGAAGATTACGAACATCTTGTTTCAGCAATTGGCCAAATTGGAAGGTTGATCAGTTATGTAGTACACTACGTGCAACATCCACGATGAAGGATCTCGATATCAAGTTCTTCGGCAGAACTAATTTCGAGAAGCTGATTCGGGCCTTGATGGAAAACCAGTCTCTTGAGAAATTGACTATGAACTTGACTCGTTGCCAAGATTCTCCCACCGCCGAAGCCATGGTTTCCACGCTTTGCCTGGCAATCTCCTCCCATCCAGAGCTAGCAAGTGTAACAATCCTGGTTCCAGAATCATTGGGAGAGGTTTCAACGACAGCCATTATTGATCTCATTCGCGGTTCGAGTACACTCCAAGAACTGCGAGTCGTGGATAGTACGTCCTTGTCCACCGCTGTTGCACCTGCTACTACTCCACAGCACAATCGTGATTATGCTTCAGAGCTCATGCAAGTGTTGGGAGAGAATCGTCACTTGAAGATTCTGGCCATCCCACGCAACATTGCTGGTGGGCTAATCAGATTCTCAGATTTTATGAACTTTATCTGGAACCATCCTCGTATTGAATCTGCGAGTCTGCTGGGTATGGATGAGAAGGAGACAGCAGAAGCTGATCTCAAGGAAGTGACTGCATTTTCCCACCGTATAGTTCCATTGGTTTGGGAAATCGATTCGAAAATGGCCAACCGTTGCCAAGAATCGGTATGCCAACTACTGGAAGCTCATCCAGAAATCTTGATCAAGCCAGCAAGAACCACTCCTTTCTGCAACACCCTGCCTCCAAGGCTACAATTGTTGGCCGATTTTCATCGAGGTGGTCGCTATCTTTTGCAACAACCCGACCTTCTCTTGTCGGTATGGCCTCATAATGTGATGATAGCCGAGCGAGTTGTGAATCCGGATGTGATCTTTGAGTTTCTAAAACAAGGTCCATTCTTTGCCGGTCGGATGGGCGTTGAAGTACAAGGCAGCGAGCCACCATCACCACAAAATAAGAAAGAGTTCGATAACTCAAGAAAGAGAAAGTCAGATGAGATGGTGAATGCTGATCTTGCTGATGCGATGGATTAGGAGCAGGACAAAATACACGTAGAGATTGTACAATGTAAGTATAATCTTATTCTTTAATTATTAATACTACGCATGATGCTTGTAAAGAGTAATACAGTGTTGGCTCGAAAGAAGCAAGAAGTATGCGGTATTGTGTGAGGTAGAGCAATCCTGGTATTTCTTCTTGACCGACAGGCTTGGGTAAAATGATATCATTCTTCTGTACCATGATAGGTACGATTCAACGTACAAGTATGAAGCAAACATCATGAGATACCGCGGATTCTAGATTACTTGACACGAAGGCTGCTAATATTTTCAATCACTTCTCATTATTGGCTAGAAACATGCTGCATCATCCTCACCCAGTCGCGTCAAGACAAATATTGTCTCATAATGTGACAAGTTACTATCAAAGCAGAAACAATGGCCTTGGTGGCTGAAAGAGACGTTCTCCGTGGTATGGGGCGTGGTCGCCATCCTGGAAATCAGTACTGGAGACAACTTGTGAGAGATAGTTTGGTTGTGTACAATGGTGCAAATAGGGACGACAGAATGCTTATGGCAAGCTTGATTGTCTTGGAAGTGCAAGATTCTGGTGGCCGTTTCTTGGAGCACGATGACAACGTAGCTTATTTGGAGATGTCAAATGAAGATGCAGCGCGCATGACAAGGCAATGCTTCATAAACCTGCTCTATCGAATGAGACATATTAATGATGCATCACGGTTTTTCAACAATTGGGCCAACGGGAATGTTGACCAGTTGTGTGATACACTACGAACAACTCGCATAGTGAAAGACTTAACTGCCAAGTTCTCCACCAATGCGAATTTCGCAAAGTTGGTTGGGGCCTTGAAGGAAAACAAGTCGCTCAAGAAATTTTCTCTGGACCTCAACAATAACCACCACCACCACCATGAACATGTCATGGTTCTGACTTGCATCACCGCAAGTTCCATCCCGTACACCAGCCACAGTAGAAGAATACAATATACGCCTCCATTGGCTTTGCTGGAATGAGCGATCGTGCATCGATCGTTGTCATTATGTTGTCGAAACTGGCTGGTTAGTTGTGTGACGTGGTCTATTTGCCAGCACCCGTGTCATCCTTTATTGCTCGCTCCCACAATCTGGGCAAAAAGATTAGGGAAGAAGTTCGATGGGGTGACCTTTTTTTCAATCTTACCTTTCGTCAAGACAGTTCACAGAGTGTATATGACATTCGAGACAATCCGAATCGATGATCTTTGACCGACAAGCAACACCACTAGACACAAGAGCGGGGCGCCCTGCTCGGCTTTTACAACAGATCCAAGTATCCTCCGGATTGGTCGTTATTGATATCCAACAAGACAAGCGACATCCTTGGGCGGGAACACGAATACGATCCCGATCGAGGCTTTTTGTGGGAAATATATACATCGGGTATTGTACAAATTGGATTTGCGAAATGTGGATAGACTGCCAGGACTCAATGATACGGAAGCAAAGCAACTACTATACGACCCGAATAACAGAGCTATCATGATCGAATGCGCCCTTCGCTATTGACAAAGGTACCAGCATGTCAATATGCCTCGCAAACACCAGAAGAAATGGAGCCAGCGCCACTGCATACCTTTCGGACCAATTGCGAAAGCGAGTTTAGGCACTGGCTCCAGGAAGCACTTCCACAATCTTTGGCTTTTTTTTTCATATTCGACGAGGGAGATTTCATAAAGGTATGCAACACCACGTTGCCCGACTTGTTGGAAAGCTATTTGAAATGTTCCTTGAATGGAACGGAATCAACAGGAAAGAATATTACCCTCTTGATGGGTAGTGACGAGCGAAATGCAAAGTATCGTCAACAAGTTTTGGACTTGGTGAACAACAACAGCAATGCAGCATTGCCTTCTTTTCCCCACGTTTCGACTCTGGATGCGGAGGCGATTGCAAAGGAATTGATGGAAGACTTGGTGGCACAAAAGGCCATGCCGGAATGGCTAGAGTATCGAGCAACCACTATCAATTGTTTTCTATTGCTACAAGGAATTGGCATCTTGGGAGCCTTTAATTTCTCTTCGCTTTATCTTAGCAAGAGACGGAGTGATTGCCGTCCGTGCAACCATCTCTTGACGGGCTACCCAGGGCTATGGAAGTGATACGAGGATTGCGGGGTGAAGGACTCTGGAAGCAGCAGCTGAAAAGAGAGCAGAAAATGATGCCGTTTCATCTTGCTGGCTTTGGTATCACTCGATTGGTCCAACGCCCAAATGTTGGAAGCGATTAGCTTAGGACTGCCAAGTAGACCTGTGTTGATTGATTCTTTGAAGTATTTGTTTATGCTGCTATTTATTTTCGAACCACTTTGCTTTGCGCTAAGCTTTTGTTTAATCTAATATGGTCACTCTCTTGAATATGCCATAACATCTTAAGAGCTCTCATCGCTTCATGACGAATTTCCTGCACTTTGAACCTTGTTTGAATCACACCTCCAAGGTTTCCTCTACTGTAATTCATCAATCCCCAGTTGTTTGTTTCCCCGTGAGACTACCTCTCGGCTCCCAATTTCCGTAGTCATACCATTGCAGGAGCAAGTCCCATTCCCCACTTTCGAAGGACGCAAAGAACCAGTGGGATTATTATCCAAAGCCAGGCTTTGTAAGGAAGGGGGTAGGTTTGCGTTGTCCCAACGGTGCCACATAGTCCGAGGAGGTGACGACTCGGCGTCTTTTGGTCTTCGAGAGCGAGATTTCTTGCTGTCGTTCAAGTTGAAAGTTCACGTTTCTTTGCCGTGAGTGAGTCTTTCAATCTCCTTGGGCAAGACCTAGGATCGACTTTTGGACATCAGTGAGACCTGGCGTGAGCGCAGTCGCATTATTGCCGGGGGTAGAGACCATCCACGTGAAAAACTCGCATTCTTTCGAGCAATGCGAACAATGAACTCTGTGGCAACAAGGATCCCCCCAGCTCTGTCGTTCTTTTTAAAACAAACCCAAGACTGTAAGATTGCAAATGTCAGCCATCATCGAACTTCTTTCATACAAAAATAATGCACATCACAAAATTCGTCTGCCTATCAAAATTGAATTACCACAACACAATAAGTGGGTGAATTCAATATCAGTCGATAAACTGGGCATCATTATTGCCTTCTTATTGCGGCTCATCGACAACATAACTTTTGACAGTCGAAGGCCGATCGGCCTTCGTCCGTCTCTAACGCAACGTAGTCAAAGAGATCGAATAGTGTGCCTGCAGTCTACGCGTATATACGTTGGACAAACCTCATACCGACGTTGAACGCCAATCTGGCGTTGAGGGAAAAAACAGATGCGAGGCGTTGATTCCGCCAGACGTGCCCTTTTCCTCACGCTGATTGGTAGAATCGTCGGTTGCGTACAGACCAAGCGCCGTTACGTACAGATCAAAAATTTGGCGTACAGATCAAAAATTTGGCGTACAGATCAAAAATTTGGCGTACAGATCAAAAATTTGGCGTACAGATCAAAACCGTTACGTACAGATCAAAACCCAACCCTGTTACGACACGTACTAGACACGGGCGCGGGGAGCAGTTTATATTAGATCCCCCGGGGAAAGAAGAAGGGGAAAGAGGAAGAAGAGAGGAAATAATAAAGAAGGAAAGATAAAACGAAGAGAGAAGAGAAGAAGAGAAAGCAATAGAATTGCAATGAAGGGGCTCTACAACACAGTGCTGGTTTCACACATGGCGTCGCAAGATGACATACGCTATGATCTTGGCGTTAGCCAGGATTTAGACGGATTTAGAACGAGGTAACACTCCATAAATGTTTGATGTGACAATCGATGCGTCTGAACCGCCTACAGCAGTATTGAAATGATGGCTAAGCACCTCTACGCCAATAACAATATCCACTATCCCTGCATATCGTAGATTCAATTGAAACTTGGAGGCTCATCGCACCGCGATTATTGGTGTCTCGAATACTTCAAGGTCGGAAGCATTAAAGTGATGATGTCAGCCCGATCTTATTGTGTCGGCAACAAACCATGTGGAATCCAGGTGAGTCAAGGCATGAAATACTGCTTGACTCTATCAGCTGATACTATTGCTGATTTTATTGAAACGCTTACTTTTGCGAGGCTTGCGAGAACCAGCCAGTATTGGAATCGATAGATAATCGGCGGTATCCTCAATGGACTTAACATTTTGGGAACCAAGCAAGATGGGTAAGGGCCACCACAAAGCCCGATGTCATCGCAAAGGGAGTATAGACGTGTTCCACAATTGGAGACATGCAATAATCAACCGATTTTGAGTAAGATTCACAGTCGAAAACATAGACAGAAACCTTTCATGGTTCCTTGTTGGCCAAAGCCGCGATAGGAAAGTTTAATACAGTATAGTCATAGATGATGCTTTCAGATTCGGGTATTGTATATTCTACTCTGACGGCAATACAATCAACCTTTTTGCACCCGTTTGAGACAATGACTTGATTCAAAAGGTGAAGAGACTACTACTACCTACTACCAACTACTATTTATACCGCTATCAGCAGTTGATTTCAATCTGCCATCAGAGAAGTCTGAACGATACTTGACAATACATAGTAGTACCAGTACAGTACTATATATGCAATATTGAAAAATCAGTTTCTATCGTTGGATCTACATGTAGACCAGTCAATTTTAGTTTCCAACCTACCATCACATTCTTCAGGGCAGCTAGAAGTGGTCCAAGGGGATCTACATATACAGCGCTTCCTCATGATCGAGGGATAAGGTGGGTCCTTAAGACAAGGTGTTTAGTCGTTTGATAAGACCAAGATAAACTGCTTGGGCCGTATGGAGCTCGGACCTAACATCTTCACGCTAACATCATTTGAAGTCTATGGAGAGTACTATATGAATCATCCATAAATAGTGATAGAGAGCTGTGATTGGCTAATACGAGTACCACTAACTGAATCGACTAACTCTCATTGGCTAAAAATTCACTCTCCAAAACAAGAACCCTCCAGTACATGTGTATACCGTATACGCAGATTCTAATACCGCGGATTCAAGATATTTCTTGAGGACTGCTAATAAAATATATTTTCTCTAGAAACTTGCTGCATCATCATCACCCGCAGTCGCGTCAAAGCAAATATTGTCTCATAATGTGACTAGGTACTATCAAAGCAGAAACAATGGCCTTGGTAGCTGAAAGAGACGTTCTCCGTGGTATGGGGCGTGGTCGCCACGCTGGAAATCAGCGCTGGAGACAACTTGTGAGAAATAGTTTGGTTGCGTACAATGGAGCAAATAGGGACGACAGAATGCTTATGGCAGGTTTGATTGTCTTGGAAGTCCAAGACTCTGGTGGCCGTTTCTTGGAGCACGATGACAACGTAGGTTATTTGGAGATGTCAAATGAAGATGCAGCGCGCATGACAAGGCAATGCTTCATAAACCTGCTCTATCGAATGAGACGTATTAATGATGCATCACGGTTTTTCAACAATTGGGCCAACGGGAATGTTGACCAGTTGTGTGATACGCTACGAACAACTCGCATAGTGAAAGACTTGACTGCCAAATTCTCCACCAATGCGAATTTCGCAAAGTTGGTTGGGGCCTTGGAGGAAAACCAGTCGCTCAAGAAATTTTCTCTGGACCTAAGTATTTGCAAAGATTTTGAAAGCACCGAATCCATGATTTCCATGCTTTGCACAGCAATATCCAAGCATCCCGTGGTGTCAAGTCTAACAATCCTGATACCAGCTTTGGGAAAGGATTCAACGAAAGCCATTACCGATCTGATTCGCGTTTCCATCACACTCAAGGAACTGCGAGTGGTGGATAGTATGACACTCTCGTACACTGCTACTGCTGCCCCTCAACGTAATGGGGACTGCGCCTCCTCGAAGAAGCTCATGAAAGCGTTGCAAGAGAATCAACACTTGAAGATTCTGGCCATCCCATGCCGTATCGCGGGTGGTCTCATCAGATTCTCAGACTTCATGAACTATGTCTGGAACAGTCCTCGTGTTGAATCCGCGAGTCTTTTGGGAATGGGTGAGAAGGACACAACGGATGCTGGTCTCAAGGAGGTGGCCGAACTGCCCCGCCGTCAAATGCCATTGATTTGGGGAGTCGATTCGAGAATGGCCAACCTTTGCCAAGAATCGGTATGCCAACTACTGGAAGCTCACCCGGAAATCTTAATCAAGCCAGCAGTCACTACGATAGGTAGCACCATCGTTAATGCCTTGCCCCCCAGAGTGCAATTTTGGGCAGCTTTTCATCGAGGCGGTCGTTATCTTTTGAAACGTCCCTATCTTTCTTTGTCGGTATGGCCTCATGTGATGCAAGCTGCGAAACCAGATTTGATCTACGAGTTTCTAAAACAAGGTCCATTCTTTGCGGGACGTACGGGCGGCTTTGCAATACAAAGCAACGAACTACCAGCACCACCAAAGAAGAAGTGGATTTCGAGAAAGAGAAAGTCAGACGAGATCAGTGCTGATCTTGCGGATGTATAATAGTGGGTTAGGACTGTGGAAGTATCAGGATTGATCATGTTTTCCGAATTAGACCATAAACATTTTAAATTTGAAATATTGAAAACAATATAATATCATTTCTATAGATCTACCGGTATCTATAGAGAGTTTCCCATTATCATTTCAATAACTTTCACACTTACGGATTGGTCATCTTGCGTGACAGCAATAGATCTTCCATTTTGTTCTTTGTGGTTGTGAATGATTGTTTCTCACTCTGGACTGGCATGTCAAATTTGCTGACCCGAGCCCGCTTGAGCACTTCTGTCACATCCTCTTTGTACAATGTTGCCACAACACTTGGCTGCTTGAATACGGATCCAAGCCACTTGTCGACTGTCGGATATTTCGTTTGGATCATGGCAAGGAGTATGGTGTCGTCTTCTCGTTGGTCATCATCCTTGCCAAACTGCCGCAGTGACTTTACTGAAGCAAGTTCAGGTCGTAAACCGGGTAATACTAGCAACAAACGTTGGAAACAAGGAGCAGTCTTGGCTTCGGCCAGTGAAAAGACGGTTCCCAGAAAGTAGGATTTCTCGTTTGGGTCACTATCAGTCATATTCATTTCAGACCGTTTCAGCATCGTCTCGATACAGCCCAAGGCTTCCATTAGTTTGTCTACGGCACTTTCCAATCTCTCCAGGCTCGATGAATTCAATATCGAGTTGATGCATGGGAAGATCTCCCTATTGACGGCATGCACAAAAATTCCGACTTGGGCTTTAGAAAATGGGGACGAAGGTATCAGTTTTGACGTTTCACCCGTCCTCATCTCCACGTGGTCCATCAAATATTCCATTATAACACTAGACTCGGCAATAGAAATATGCTGATTGTCTGGCAATACACCGACAAGCAGGGGAATAGCTGCGGTCGTTGTGTCTTTGATGGATAGGCCTTGTAGTAGGAATTGATGAAGTCGACATCATTCTTGGAGAATATGTCCACCAGTTGGCGTTCCACCAGCTTCAGTTGGCTGGGAGTTTCTTGTTCCTTTTGAAGCAAGTCATCGTCGATTCCAAGCTCTTGCATCACAATATGTACTTGTTGGGCAAATGGACAGGCCTTATTGGTATATAACAGATATTCTGAAATCGGTGGTGCCTTGTGTTTGTATTCCAGTGATAGTACTTCATCTGGGCCCGAGCATGGGGTGGGTATGTATCCAGATGTAGGTGGTATCTCCATAAATTGGTCTGGATGATAGAAGTAAGTCGTCCCGCTTGGATGATGGGAGACATATAGCTCCCATCGATCCCGAATGAATCGGATGTAACATCTCGACATGGGTTTCATCCATTGCAGTTTACCACCACGAAAACTTCCATTATAGACGTATTGACCATTCAAGCCAGGTTCGGAAGTGATGCCACTGACCAAAATAGAATCTGGGGCGGTCATTTGGTCGGTCATATATCGTTTGTGTGATGCGTGTTTTATTGTGATGTTCAAAATAAATCACAAAAAAATTTGCGGGTCTGAGGATATGTGCGGGACTCATCGTCACCCGGGATTCAAAACACAAACGGAAGACTAAAAGGTATACAGTACCATACAAAGAGACAGTCCAACATTTCCGAGGTTCTCCAAGATTTGAGATGAGGAAAGATATTGGAAGGTTATGTGGTGGCAGCTTCAATACTTCACTGTCCAAGGTCAATGAAAAACCATTTACTGTACAAGCCATCTTGCGTGTCACATTGGGAAAGCCCCATTGTTCTCGTTGCAAAAGGCAAGTACCCCTATTTGGAACGATTCGGAATCTCAGTTCCAACACCAGCTACCATTCCTCCATTGTTTTCGTTTTCCTGACGATTCAAACAAATTCCCCCCACAAAGTAGTGGCCAGCGCCCAAGCTAAAGGTTGATTTGGAGTAGAAGGTATAATTGGATTGATACCATGCTGGGTCTTCAAAAAGCGCCAATGCCATTGGATTCAAAAAGACCGAGTCAGAATATCCAGAATTGTCAAGGGGCGTTGAAAATAAAGTTGCCAAATCCACAAAGGATTGCTGGGATTCCCAATCGTCTCGTCGTCCGAAGCAGGATTGGGCCAGCAGCATGCCGCCGCCAAGAATCCAATCTTGATTCATTCTCCAGCCTTGCTCCTGACAAGGTAGGACAGTCCACTTGATTGCCAACGACAGTTTGAGCAGTGGAAGTTACAGTTGTGGCATAGCGGTGGAATGCTGCTAACAGTAAGAGTGCGGTTGATGAAAAGAGTCGCAAGGTATTCTCTGCTGGCGCGGTACCGTTAAATACAGGAAGGGCTAAATAAGGTCGTTTGGTCGACTAAGCCGACTTTGAAGAATGATATTTCAAAGTTTGCGGCATCGGATATATATTATAAGAATAATAACGCGGCAATAATACATTCATTACGATATATATCGTGTATCGATCCCGTATATTGTTGGTTCTGCCATATTTTCCCTTTTGTCTCTACAAGAAGAAGAGAGCTTGTACATGCGGCAATGACTACTGGCGACGTGCTACCATGGATTGCAGAGACTTACGGACAAACGGAAGTGGGTCCAGAATTTTACGTCTCGTTTGGAAGTAGCAATAATTCAGATGCGACGCAGAATGAAATCAATATTCAAGACGTTTTTGACCTTGCACACTTCCCTGTCCAATTTGACTACATTCACATAAAAGGGACGATTGGCAGTCTGAGTCGTGACGCGCTCAACCTACTCCACCTCTTACAAAATGATGGCAGGATTTGGCAGTACATTTGCTTTTGGGCATACGACGAAGATCAACCAAGTTCCCCAGCGTTTTTGGCCATTGTCACTGCCGCGATGAAAAAGGCCAAGTGCCTAGAAATCGAATGCAAATTGTCAGATACAACAGCCTACGCTTGTCTGGCTACAGGTCTCTTGGCCCATGATGGGATTCAGGAACTTGTGTTGCATCAAGCTGACAATTTGGAAGTGGATGATGCAAAAGTACTTGCTGAGGCGATGGTGTGCACGACTTGCCTGAAGCGATTGCAGCTTGCGGGTGGAAATTTACGAGACGAGCGTGTGTGCTCCATTTTGGTAGAAGGATTAAAAAGAAATCGATCCCTTGAGTCGCTGGAAATCAATGTTGAAGATTTTGAAAACGATGGTATTGGCCTCTCGGAGCTGTTGCGCGCCTTACAAAACCATTGCAACCTTCGTTCATTGGCTCTATCTGGTCGAATTGTATCAGCGCAAGTGATGGAGGCATTGCGAGAATGGTTAGGCCGGGACGACTGCAAATTGCAAGACCTTGTGATTGGTGGCGTTCTGGACATGTCAGCATGTATAGGCGGCGGAGAAATGGAGAGCAGAACCTTGCAACGACTTACATTGTATAAAGTCGGTCTTTCAAGCGAGCACTTGAGCGCAATGTGTAATGCATTGCCGAATTTGAGCTTCTTGTCGCTCGGATCCAACAGGATATGTGATCTGACCCCATTGGAATCTATCTTGAGCAGGGAGGACTGTACCATTCGCGAGTTGGATTTAGGATGGAATGATATCAGCCACGAATCAATCATGAAGTTTGCTGCCAAGATACCGCTGATGAAGAGTCTTAGGCGTTTGTGCTTGAGTGACAATCCGTTTCTTAAGGAAATAATTCTGCTTGATGGGAAAGAGCGAAGCGCATCACTTCGGCCGCTCTTGAAGAGAATGAAAGACAGCAAAAGCCTAGAACAACTCACAATGACATGCCAGACATCGGTGGATACTATTGAATTGTGTCACACCATGAATGTCAATCGAGGGGGGCGATACGGAATTGAAGTGGAGTCGGTAAATCACAGCATATCACTTGCCATGTGGCCAAAAATCCTTTACCGGGCCTCATCCATACAATACTTTGTCTGCCTTGACTCGACGTACAGCGAAGAACAACAACCGACTGACAAAAGTCCAAGGGCTTCAGTAGTATTCTCCCTACTTCGGGATCACGCCTACATCTTTGAGCACTGAGGGAAAGTAAAAGGAGGACGCGTTATTGATGATGCCTCAAGTCTCTTTCGACCGTAGTAGTGATGGCAGTTTCAAAAGATAGAGTTGCAAGACAGAGAGAGAGATGCAGCATAGAGAATTTATTTGCCAATACTAGAAGTGCCAGCAATTGAAGATGGATTCATCACAGATGACGCTTGGGGCTGCCTATGCTGACATTCTGACATGCGAGAAGAAGGAATTGTCATTTATTGTCGCAATTATAAGAGCAGCATGTCAGTCACTGCTAGCTATCCGATCACTGGAAATGCTTTGGTTTCCGCCAATAAGAGGAGTGGAAACATCTTCCAAACTACTGTATTACCTTGGCAGGAATGAGATATGTTTTTTATTTATTACTATACAGTATGTTGCGGAATAGTGGTAAGGCCTAAATAAGGTCACCCTGTCGACTAAGCCGACTTGAAAGAAAGATATTTCGAATTTTGATATTCGCAACGAGAGATGATGACGATGATATAATCAGAGCGAGCATCGTCGCATTTGAACACCAATATATTATTACGATAGTGATCCCTTGTTGCTCCAGCAATATTTTCCGATAATTTTTTCAGTGGCAATGACTGACGACGTGTTACCATGGATCGCAGCAACTTACGGACAAGTATCAGTGGGTCCAGAATTCTACGTTTCGTTTGGAAGTAATTCGGATGCGAAGCAGGATGAAATCAATATTCAAGATGTGTTTGACCTTGCAAAGTTCCCGGCCCATTTTGATTACATTCGCATTGAAGGGACGATTGGCAGTTTGAGTCACGACGCGCTCAACCTACTCAACCTTCTACAAAATGATGGCAGAATTTGGAATTCCATTTCCTTTCGTGCAAACAACGAAGATCAACCAAGTTCCCCAGCGTTTTTGGCCATTGTGACTGCCGCCATGAAAAAGGCAAAATGTCTAGACATTGAATGTACACTGTCGGATACAACAGCCTACGCTTGTCTGGCTACAGGTCTCTTGGCCCATGATGGGATTCAGGAACTGGAGTTGTATGGAGCTGACAATTTGGAAGTGGACGATGCAAAAGTCCTGGCTGAGGCGATGGTGTGCACAACTCGTCTCAAGTCATTGCAGCTTGCAGGTGAAAATTTACGAGACGAGCATGTGTGCTCTATTTTGGTAGAAGGATTAAAAAGAAATCGATCCCTTGAGTCGCTGGAAATCAATGTTGAAGATTTTGGAAACGATGGTAGTAGCCTCCCGGAGCTGTTGCGCACCTTACAAAACCATTGCAACCTTCGTGCATTGGCTCTATCTGGTCAAATTGTATCAGCGCAAGTCATGGAGGTATTGCGAGAATGGTTAGGCCGTGAAGGTTGCAAATTGCAAGACCTTCAGATTCGCAACGTTTCACCCTTGCCCACCTTCAGTGGGAGTCATAAATCATTCAAGTGCAGAACTTTGAAGCGGCTTGAATTGATAAACACCGATCTTTCGAGCAACTCGTTGGAAGCACTATTCCTTGAATTTCCAAACTTGAGCATCTTGTCGCTCTTTGGCAACAATGTTTGTGATCTGACCCCATTGGAATCTATCTTGTGCAGGGAGGACTGCACGATTAACGAGTTGGATTTAGGATGGAATGATATCAGCCACGAATCAATCATGAAGTTTGTTGACAAGATACCGCTGATGAAGAGTCTTAGACGTTTGCACTTGAGCGACAATCCGTTTCTCAAGGAGGAGATAATTTTGCTGGAGGGGACGAAACAGCAAAGCACATCACTTCGGCCGCTCTTAAAGAGAATAAAAGACAGCAAAAGCCTAGAACAACTCACAATGACATGCCAGACATCGGGAGAATGCAATAAGGCAGATAAAATTGAATTGTGTCACACCATGAATGTCAATCGAGGGGGGCGATACGGAATTGAAGTGGAGTCGGTAAATCACAGCATATCACTTGCCATGTGGCCAAAAATCCTTTACCGGGCCTCATCCATACAATACTTTGTCTGCCTTGACTCGACGTACTGGGAAGAAAAAGAACCGACCGACAAAAGTCCAAGGGCTTCAGTAGTATTCTCCCTACTACGGGATCATGCCTACATTTTTGAGCACTGTGGAAAAGTACAGGAAAAAGAAGACGAAAGGTGATGAGTAAACAGTCACGCATCGCAGTGAGAGGCCGTTTATATATAGACGGAGATGGAACTGCGTCTAGTCAATAAGAGACATGAAAAATTGTCCTTTTAGAAATAATAAGGTTTTAGATACGACTTGTACTATTAGATTGGAAGTTGATATGTGGAACCGAATGATCTCCTTGTTCTAATCATTTGCTTTGAAGTGCTGTTCATGAATAATGGGCCAGTAAAACGTTAGTGAGAACAGACGACATGGTAACATGCTGGATATGGTCCAGCAATGGTGGTGCTGCTGCTGCTGCACATTGATTAATTGCAACCTGTAGTCTAAGAAAATTCAATGGGTTCTTCTTCGTATGGATCCAGATCTGCTTGTGCTTTGTCCGAGTACCCACCGGACGTCATTTCCATGTCATATCGATTGGCCGGTCGATATTTCGGTCCCCTATCCTTGCGACGAAAGCACGCCATGTACATGCAAAATGCCAGAGCCCATGCAATCAAAGCGGATCCGCCAATTAAAGTGGTTGGCGAAGTCGTGGCCCAATCCTTAAATGTCTGCGGCAATTCCGGAGTTCCTTTCTTTGCAATCTTGCTTTTGCTCGAGCAAGCTGGACACTTTGGACATGTCTTTTTCTTCTGGGTGCCCTCAGCATCGTCATCGTCACTTTCTTCGTCGCTGTCTTCGTCGCTATCTTCGTCTTCATCGTCATCAGAGCTATCTAGACAGATCGGGCAGTTTGTTCCATCGCTATCGCCGTCTGGTGCTGTCATTCGAGAAATACGCTGCTCGTAGTCTTCAAAGCTCTTGTTGTAAATGAGAGTTCGGATCAAATCCAGAGCCACGTCCGGAAGGTCCATCGGGACCATGTGTCCACTGTCCTTGACCTTGAGATACATGAGGTTCTCATGTTCCTTCATGAATCCAGCCAGCATTTGGGTGGAAGGTGACCTCCAACCATACCGAGGCGCCAACTGATATTCTTTTTGTAACTTCCATTCGAAATTTTCGACCGCAATTTCATTGCCCACATGATTGCAAATCATATCTTCAATTCCATTGAAAAACATCATGCGCACATCATTGTTCAACAAATCTACAACGTCGTGGGTCACACCCAATCCATCTTGATGCTTCAAGGCATTGTAGGGTGGATCCGTGCATTCTTCGTATTCTTGTCCCGCCTCGGCCGAAGGAGTCGCATGAATGGCCTTGAGGACTTGGTCTTTGAGATTGGCCAGCACCGGCGTGCTGCTTTGGTGTCCACCACCGAGATAGGCTTCCACATCCTTGTGACCCTTTGGAAAGTCTCTGGCTCCCGACACCTTTTCCGTCTTTCGGGCATCGTACTGACTAATGTGGTATAGGGATCCATGACCCTGCGAATTGTCAATGACAGCATCCAACAAGGCATAGCAGTGTTTTGAAACATACTTGCCTTTTGCTAAATCCTGTTGGCACCTCTTTTCGTCATCTTCCAATGCGCGCTTTTGGGACAGTCCAATGATCCCCTTTCCATAGGCTGCCTCGTGGGCACTGTATTGCACGGGAGGATCGATCCATCCATTTCCAATGGCAGCCCCGGAAAGTGGAATCTGCAAGGATGGTGATTTTGCATTCTGTTTCTGGATGTAGTTCATCATGCTTGGAATGTAATGCCCCGCATGAGATTCTCCCGAAAAATACAATGGACGATTCAGGGTCTGTGACGACTCGTCCAAGAACTTGTCCTTGTGAAAGGTGAGGAACTGATTGAGAAAGTAATAAAAGTCCATATTCACTTGCTCATCATTTGACGGGTACTTTTTGTTGGTTGTAAAAGATATTCCAGTTCCGACGGGTTGATCAATATAGAGAACAAAGGCTGGTGACTTGTGCCAGCTGTATTCGTCCAATTCAATGCTCCAGCTGTCATCGGCATTTTCCGTCAACCGAAAGGGACCATTCTCCAGCCACAATCCATCCATGGAGCTACAAGCCGGTCCTCCGTTCAACCAGATTACCAACGGAATGGATCGATCGCTGAAATCCATGTCCTGTCCACTGCCATCGTCCGGAGCAAAGAGCCAATAAAAGAAATAATTCTGGCCATCATCATTGACTGGCAACAATCCGGCCCAATGAGAGGTAGGAAACTTGGCTTTGTCCAATAGCGGCAATTCAGTTACCAAATGACCATCAGGAGAAGCTGGAATATCAACAGTTACCCGTCTATGAGCCTTGTTGCCTCCTCCTTCTTCTTCTTGCGCTGATGTTTGCCGATGATGGTTCTTCTTTGCTGCTAACAATTGAGTCTTGAATGTGCCCCAATGACCATCAGGAATTCTCCGAACAGCAAGAGCGAAGGGTAGCTGCCACAGCAGAAATAGCTTTATTGAATGGAACATGAGAAGCTGCTTTCTCTTATGCTGTGATCACCGTGAGTTTGTATATGCTAGTATCAGCAGAGGTACGTTCAAAGTATGATGAAGATGCTGATGACAGCCGAGCGATGAAATTTGAATGAAAACTATGTTTGTCACCTGAGAGGTACTTCGATAGTGCCTCGATGGTACCCGACCTTAAACCACTGCGTAGTATTTTATCTATGCAGTTGGCATGCCGGAAACAGAACACTATGCACTCTTTTGTTGACATATTTATTGATTCTCTAGCGTTTATCAATGCTGTTATAAGTTTTATCTGATGCCATCGGAAGAGGCCTTATATTGATGCATGCATTGTTTCAATCGTGTCAATTGTTGTTCAGCAATGGAGGATCGAGAGAGTAGTAGTAGCATGCATCCGTCGAGGGCCCATGCGAGTAGCATTACCTCGCAGTGATTTTTTCTCTTGGTGATACAATTTTTTTGTTTTCTGAACAAGATATTAGCCCCATTCCGACCTTTCATCACGTTGTCAAGTGACTGCATTTTGAGTTTCAAGTGCCAAGAAGAAGTTGCTTCTTAGCAAGTTACATATCGGATGCGTTTCATTCGGTACAGATCGACAGTCCTTGCTGACCCGGCTTCTGGACTCTTTGGCACTCCTTGATCGAAGACTTGGACCCGAGACTTGCACTGAGAACGACCATTCTTTGGCCTTTCGTCATCGTCATCGTCCTCCATTAATTGAACCCGTTTGGCCCTTTTTGACTGCTTTCGTTGGGAATAAAACTTTGTCGCCATCGTCTGCTCTGATGTTTCATCCGGCGAAGTAGTATCGTGTATTCCTTGTTCAATATCACTGCCATGACTATCAAAACCGACAAAGGTTGTCTCTACAGCATCTGTCGATGTGGCAAAGGAAGACACAAGCGTTCGGTTAAAGACCTCAGGTTCACTGCTGGTGTCGGAGGAGTTGTCGCTAGATGCATTTTCCCAGCTATCACTGTCCGTAAGAGAAACATTGGTGCCGTCTGTAATATTGGATGTCTCTCTTAGTTGCTCCATGAGTAGTTTTCTTCTCAGCATGCGAAAGTGGTGTCGCTTCTTCCTCGCAGACTGTTGGAATTTAAAGGCATCCATTCGGGAAGCAGATACAGATGCCAGCATCCAAAAGGCACTCGCTGCAATGGCGAGATAACCTCCAGAATCGACACTGCATCCATGATTCTTGCAGACTTCCGAATCCAAAAATATAAACGAAAAGGATTCCAAAAAGTACGAAATGAGAAAGCAAAATCCAAGTGGTCTCAAATTGATAGAGTACCAAAAGATGGACGAGGTTATCATCACTGCGGCGAACCCTCCCAACCATACTACCAATGAAGAAAAGCTTCGTGCCAGCTGGTATTTAATATCATCGACTTCTTCGGATCCCAACCTGTCAATGATGCAGCCTTCGAATCCAGGAATAAAAGTACTGTTGTAGCATAGCTCCAGATTGACCATTCCGATAGTGTTTACCGTGTTATAGTTTGGATCAAAATACATTGGAATTTCAATGGATACAAACTTGGTCGAGTTTCGAGCCAACAATGCCAATGTGAATCCAACCCAAGAACACAAAATGGCAAGACTCGTCCACAGACGACTATGAGCAAATATTTGAATGTCCTTTTCTTTTTCCAAAGCATCATAATCTTCTTCCTTGCTAATGTCTTTGGATGGCGTAGAGTTCGTTTTTTCCTGGTCATTGGAAGATTCGCTGTCAGATCGCCGCCTGCTTCGATCTGCTGGGACCGAGACCAAGGTTGGTGGCAATCCTGGTGGATCTTGGTGATTGCTTGATGAGTCTTGGCGTTGTTGGTTTCGTTGGGGCATCATACTCCTAGAGTCTCTAGTTTCACCGGCTAAACCTCTTCTCTGATGTTCCACATCAAACGGCATATCATCCTCCGAAGTGTTGCATTGGACGACATGGATGATCTCATAGTTGTTTGCGTCATCCGAAGTTCCTTCAATCTCCTCTGGAGAAATAACGTATTTGTTTCGGTATTGCTTTGTCATGATCTTTCCCATTTATACTGTGTGGCATCGATGTTTCGAAGGAAAAGTGCTTGGTCGTGCTTTGTCGATATAGCTTCCGTATACACCGCAGTTTGGGATCAGAAAAATTTGGAGATCCAAGATTTCAAAGGTTTTGGTCATCAACTTGTTGTCGAAATACGTTGGGCTTCTGATGTAATCACATTGAACAAAATAGTGGCCGTTCAACGCTTCATAGCGATCAAAACGGGCTATTTCCACACGTGCACCGCCAAATTTCAGAATACTCTCTGAGACATTTAGACCAACTGGCGACATTCGCGATCTAAATACTCTTAAATAACTAGACAGTCAAGCAAAAAAGGCCAGAACTGCCAAAAGAGAATATCAGCTCACATGTTATATTATATTTCTGTGACACGAACAGATGCAGCAGTGACAGAAGTCATGGCACGAGGCGACGTTGAAGCGGAGATAAGCTATACTACTGTAGCGTTCCTCATTGCTTGAATGAGTCATTGACTCATTCTGCCTGTCAAAGAGCTAGCTATACTCGAATCCTCTCTCCATGGATACTATGCCTTCATGATGGACTGTCTGATGAAGAAGCACGTGCCTTGGATCTGGACAATTCACGAGTTCCTATCGATGACTTGCGCAGACATGCAGAGCTCCAAACTCGTTTCATCACTACCAAGGAATCAGCGACTACTATGTGACAATCAGACGCCCCACAGGAATGATACGGGACGACGGACAACGATTGATTTCATCGGCTTGCCATCATCATCAGACTCCAATGGAACTCGGAAATTTGAAAGAAGACAATAAGAATTACCATCGGCTTCCTCGTCAAGAAGATAGTAATACTCTTGCCTATAGACTATATAAGAAACAGCTGATTTATGTTTCGATTTTATTGATTTTTATGTTTGATCATTGTGTTCTTGTTTCTTTTCTTTTCTTTGAATTTGTTTTTTTAATTCAACGATATGTTTTGATATGTTTGGTGAACATGTCTTCGACAACTGATGTGTCATTTGTGCTGTGCATTCTCTTCTTGAATATGTGCACTGTGGCTCGATTTTGTCTTGACCGGTAGCTTGAATATGAATTTGACAACTGATGTGTCGTTTGGACCGTTTTTGAAGAATGCACTGTGGCTCGACTTTGGCTCGTCTGTAGACTTGGATGTAGTATGGTGTTTTGTATTCCTTGCTTCACACACCGGTCCGAAGCTTGACTACTGCAACTATCATTTCATAGACGTGTTGCGCAGAAGCACGGTACTGTAGCGGTGGAAAGGAAATGAGCAGTGGCTCTCTTTTGGAGCAGAAACAAGGGTTTTCCAATAGCCTTGACTGTAGCCCTGGATGTAGAATGGTGTATTGTATGCCTTCCTTTACACATCGGTATGAAAGCTTTACTACTGCAACTATCATTTCATAGACATGTTGCGTAGAAGCAAGGTACCAGTAGCGGTGGAAAGGACATGAGTAGTGCGGCTCTCTTTTGGAGCAGGATAAGGCAGGTTTTTCGAATAGGCCGCAACCACAAGGGTCTTTCACGGAAGCATCCTCCTCTTTCAGGGTCCTTTAACATAGTCAGTTGCGATTGCAAAGTGTTGGCCAACATTTTTCTGACAAATCAAGGACACTGAAAAGAAGAAGATTGGTTCGAGAAAAGATCAAAGTGGAAGTGGTGGGTGTGTTCTCATAGGTAGAGAAGCAGGGCCTGCTTGAGCAAGCGATCGAAAGCTCTATTCTTGGCTGAGCAAGGTTGTCTCATCGTTGCTTCGTCGAATGACAGCCCATTCCCATTCGGTTTGAAACAAATTAATTCGAGTCCCAGGTATTTGTGCCTCGAGACGGAACGAGCGTTCAGTTCGCTCTCTCATCTCCTTGAACTTCTGGTCATATCGCTTCTTTGCCATCTTGCGCTTGTAAGATCCAATAATTGTTTTACCAGACGATGGTGGGTTGGTTCTTTGAGGACCTTGGCCAAGGTAATCACACCCGACCTTGAGGCAGAAATTCGGCAGTACCACAACCCAATAGTACTTGACTTTGCCAGGATACTGTTCAAGCATTCCCTGGACTGCAAGCTTGACAAGACTAGTCATGGTGCAGCTCACAATAGAAAGAGCCGAGATCCACATGCAAACCCAGCTTGAAAGTGCAGAGATCAAATCAGTAAAGACTCGGACCACGGGCTTGGTCGTTTCAATGCTTCGCTGGAGGGTAAGGTTGGCAAGATTCATCATGACGCAGATGAAACTTGCAAGTGTCCAGAGCAAGAGGAAGATCAAGTCAGCAAAGACTGGGACACACGTCTTAAGAGTAAGCTTGAAAAAACCTGTCATGATGCGGGTCAAGCTGGAAAGTGTCGAGGTCATGGCCGTTCCAAATGAGTAGATTGGAAGAATAGATGGCGACCATGGCATCATGTTTCCCTCAGAGCTGAAGGTTTGGTTCATGGGAAGATTGAGGACTTCTTGGCCCACAAATGCAAAGACAGGTGTGATGCAATGGGCCAAGGCTTCTGCACAAACTTTGATGATCAAGTCTTGCGGACCAAAGGGAACCAAGTCGCTTGAGCCAAGAATGACCAGGTCGGTACAGGTAGAAACTCTGAGCACCAATTCTCGTGCAGCAAAGAGTACCAAGGATCGTGTTGCTCTCACGACGATGGCTCGTGTGGCTCTGACAATGATGGCTCGTGTGGCCATAAGGACCAGATCGCGTGGAGCTCGGACAATGAGCTGTAGATAGGTTTCGCTGGTTGGAAGAGCAAAGATTTGGCTGTTGAGAACGGTGGCGTTGCCAATAAAGCTCTTGATTATGTTGGTGATCCCTCCAATAGCATCGGAAACGGTTCGACCGACTGCAGCAATGGAAATGGATCCGAAGATGGCTCGGACGCCTGCAACAATGGTGGTGGTTTGGGTGGCGATGACACTGTGGACTGCTGGTGCAACTGCAACTCGACTGATGAGCTGCTGAGCAATGACAGGCATGGCGGCGACGAGCATGACAATCAGAGTCAACGCAAGTGGCATGGTGATGGTGTTGATGATGGTGTTGATGATGTTGTTGTTCATGAAGATGAAGGAGAACATCGTTGCGATAAAGTTGTTTGTTTGCTGGTAAGGAATAAGTTCGATATCACACACAAAAGCTTGATGCTTTGTTTTTATGAGCATTTCTGAGTGAATTCAAGATTGCAGCACGGTCTTGGAAAGAAACGGGTTGAAATCGTTTTCATCGTGGAAACACGCTCACGGTCGCTAAAAGAAACGACTTTCATTTCGCCTGCTGGAATTTCTTAATGAAGCAATCCGAAGTCGGCCGTGTTCTTCGATCATGCCTTTATTCAGCTTTTGAAGGCGATGGCGCCTGCATAATGGGATGGACGCAAAAGCTTCATCATCATTGTCAACTCTTTTCAATGCAGTTTTTAAATTTTGGTCCGCTCATCGTATACCGTACAGTACCAGGTCGACGCGATGAAAAAAAAAAAAACTTGGTTTGGAGACGATCGACTACTGCGACTAGATTTAATTTGCAAGTCTTGGAAGCTACAACTAAACACTACGGTAGGTGCTGATACATCGGCTATTCTATTGTACTCGACTTTTCCTCAATTTTCCCCTCGTAGTCTCAAAGGTCACGAGGTATCCAGGATGAATGAGTGCAGTCTCATGTTGTCCCCTATATATATCCCCGTTTCGTCAGTCACCATTCTCATACGTCCCCATAAGTTAGAGAGTAGGTTTCATCATAATGATAGAAAACCGTTCTCTGTCAATAGTCAGCATATTTGAATAGCTTAGAGCGTTGCTATGTGGAAACTGATTCAACCGAACAACAAGCAGAAATGTGCTGTGTGCCCTAATTGCACCCCTATTATAGATCACATACTGTTTCCAATCACAATTCACCCTCGCCAGAGGCTTTCGTTCGCTCGGAAGCACGGCATCCGTCATCGCATCTCTCAAAAATGGATAGCTCAAAGTCAGATGAAGCTGCACTTCTAGTCCGCATCTCAAAAATATCCCCTGAAATCCGTCGAACTAATCGAAATGTGCCGTCACTTGGTGGGTGCACTGGTTCGACTTTGCTATGTACCAAAAGCGCCAATGCTGGTGGTTTATCGGCTTCGGAATGTAGTAAAATATCCAGTGTTTGCCATAGTGGTGCGTCTGGATGATCAGTGTCTACAAAGAAGGACAAGAGGGACGATCCAAGGACCAAGGAGAACCCTTCTTCAGAGCTTTCACCAAAGTGTGATTGTTTCAACTGCTGCACTTGATCCATATCAAAATGGTCCATTCTTTGAACCTTGATGGCTTCCGTCAAACTATTGGCAGCGATATTTGCCGTATTTAGCGCCAAGGCCCGCAACGAATTGTCAGTCGCAATGACAAGTGGTGGCCCTGAATGTTCAACTTCAGAGTTCAATGTCAAGGTGGCCATGGCCAAGGCTATACTAGAGGCACCAAGACCAGATCCAAGTTCAATGGCTATGGGATCATTTGCCGGTCTCTTCGTCAGGATAGATTCAAGTTCGGGAATGCCGCATTTGACCGGAGCGGCAACGCAAAGGGCAAGGAAATACCCTGCAGGCCACTGGACTGTTGACACATCAAATGGGCGTAAGAAGCCATCTTGTTCTAGTGCAATGAATCGCATTTCATAATCGTCAAAGGTGAGTCGTAATCGAATAGCAAGTTCTCGCAGAACTGGCAACCGCAAATGGGATGGTGAACCTTCAAAGAATTCACAGCAGACTGGTATTCCGTCTGGAAAGCATTCGCCAAGTTGCTCAGGCGACCGATTGGGAGACGAGTACTCCCAAAGACTTGAGCAGCACTTTTCCCAATAGTCACCCACTACCAGTGTTTCGATATCCACAATGCTGCATATCCAAGCGTCATCAATCGTAGCTTGTGCGCGATCCGACTTTAACGATGGCGTGAGTAACTGTTGAAAGCCGTCTTCTTCTTTTTCTAATATCTCTAGTAGCATATCCGCTTCTTGAATGTATGCTTTGGACACCTGCTTTTCGCAGGTTGGCGGTAGAGTTTGTGCCAACGACCTTGCCGCCGATAACCGAGCATCCTTGACGAACTGCTGAATGGCATTGGCAGCATCCGTGCAAGACATTGTCGTCATGCTTTCTGTCTTGGACAATAAGGAGGACCAGCCATTCAAGTCATCACCATTGACAACAAGAGCCTTTCCGAGGAGCACCAACATCCAAAAGCGCATGAGAATCCACATTTCCCATTAACAAGCCTGCCTTCGAGGTCATTTTCAATTTTTGTGGCTGTGAGTTATCATTATACGATGATGATGACTGGTCGGTTTAGTCGACTTTGTGATTGCATGGTGCTTTCTCCAGTCAGTCAAATTAGTCGAATCCTTCATTCATACTGTATATGCTACCGGTATGATATGTGCGATTGCCAATAATATATACACTACTAGAGCTAGTCTATCAGCAGTATTTCTTATCCATTCTATCATAACAGACTTTTATTATAATAATAATTATTATTCGTCCTAGGACTAGACCCTTTTTTCAGCTAGGAACTTTTCTTGAGCCGCTCCTTCTTTTTCTTTTCCAAGATTTTTTCCCTCTTGTCTTTTCGTCGTGCCCTGTGCTTGGCTTCTATCGATCCTACAAACCGCGATACCAACGAACCAGAGCTTTGCTGATGGTCTTGATCTTTGGTATAACTGACTCGTTCTCGTTTCAAGCGACGTGGCTCCATGGCCAATCGACCGGGGGATGGGGCGGCGGCTTCCTTACTATTGCTACCAGTACTTTTCGTGTCCACAACGACGCCATCAAAATTTGATACTCGGGTCCTTGTTGTTGTTTCTTCTGGTTCCTCTTCTTCTTCTTCCGATTCTTCCTCAATGGAATATTTATGATATTGATTGCTATCCGACGTTGTGGTGGACATTGTATTCAACGACGCCGTACTTTCTCTTGTCGAAGACGATGGAGGAATTTCCAAATCCATATTGGCCGAGTGAAAACTTTCTTCTCGTTGTCTTGGTGGTATGGACCGCCGACTTTGATGATGGGCGTTGCTGTCATAAAATATATCTCCACTACTACCGCTAGTACTACTAGTACTAGTAGTACTGACAGTTCTAGCAGTACTAGAAAAGGAGGAGCTGGGTGGTGGATGATTGATTTGCCGTCCACTCATCGAGTGCGTCACGAGTCGCACATTTTTGGAGTCTTTCAACAATGGTGACGACGAATTGGTCGTTTCTATTTCTTCTTCAAATTCTTCTTCTTCATTTTCGACTACTTCTTGCACAATAACCTTTTCTTCTTGCCGTTTCAATTGTTTCATGAGCATTTCCAAGAGTTCCTTTGTTTTTTCGTCATCCAAATCTGCTTGATCTTCAATGGGCAATTGACGAATCAACGATTTCAATTGATTCGTCACATCTTGTGGTTCTCGTTGTTCGAGTACTGGCTGCTGTTGTTGTTGTTGTTGCTGTTGTTGTTGCTGCTGTTGTTGTTGTACTACCGTCACCACCCGCTGTTGGGATCGTTCTTGGGACCATTGCAATCCTCCTTTTTGTTGTTGTGATTGTGATTGTGATTGTTGCACTTGTCGACTCGTCAACACGACCGATGACTGTTGACCGCCATTCGCATTCCCATGATTACCAACAAGACCATTGCCCTGTTGTATCAATTTTTCCAATTCGGCACGATCTGCACTTGGAATCTTCTTGGCAATGGCAGTGAGCAATTGTACCGTTTGAGTCTCGTGGACTCCCACCTTTATACTAGCATCCCCTGGCAAGAGTCCCAAGGAAATGAGGTCCAATTCCAAAATGGTATAGTATTGCGCAATCGTCGCATCGAACGAAAGGTAGGCCCAAAACAAAAACATGCCATGATGATAAAAGGGAATCCACCAAAAATATCGCAGTGCCTGAAACCCAATGGCCACCAAGGAATGCAAAATCCAATATTGCAAAATGTGCAATTGATGGTCCTTATCATTGTTGTTGTTGTTGTTGTTGTTGTTGTTGCTGGTGCTGTTGACATTTGTATTTTTGTTGTCCAAAGTGGACTTTCCAATGGGCAAGAGGAATTGTGAATATACCACTCCCAATCGTGTAAAGAGGGACGGCGTCAGCGGCAACAAGGTAAGCGCTGCTGGTACAATAATGGTACGGGATTCTTGCAAAATACCCAAAATGAGACTCTTCCAATACACTTCCAACAGATGCATAGTCACCAATAATTCCAAAAGTTGTTCGGCCCTGGTCGTCACCATTACTTTCCAAGTTTCTTGACTGACGGCCTCGGATAGTTTGGCATACCCTTGCAAAATGTAAGGTTTGGCCAAGGAGTGACAAAAGGAGGCTCCCGATGGAATCAGTAACAAATAAATCGTGAAAAAGAAATTCCATTCGGCCATCCATTGATTCCGCAAGGCAATGCTGGATTGACGTTGAAAGATCACCAAGGCAAGTTGCAGTAGAACATGATCCAAGGCTTGTACCAAGGCATAGAGCGTCCAATATTGGACCCAATAGGAATGATCATTGCTATTGCTGTTGCTATTGTTGATGATAGTAGTGTCCAAGCTCGACACTATCGAGGATGCCGTTGACTTGTTCTTCTTCTTCTTGTTGTTGCCATCGTTTGACGCAGTTGGATGACGTTCGTGATGCACACAAGCCAGGGTGGCCAAAAAGGGATACCAAAAGTTCAACAAGGACAAACCCTTTCTAGTAACAAGTCTTAATAGAGATGAAAATACAGTTTTGGCCACCAGACAGGCTCCAGCAAAGTAGACGTGATGCAACCATTCTTCTTTGCTAAGTTGTGGTTGTTGTGGTTGTTGTTGTTGTTGAATAGAAGCAGTAGCAGAAGAAGCAGCAGAAGAAGCAGCAGTAGTTCCCTTGGAGGACTTGGTCCACTTTAGCTGTTTGGTGGGGGAGGCTGGATGCATCATCTTTTCATTGGGGACCAAAAGAAAGAATGAATGAAAAAACGACTACAAGCGAGTGCGATGACTGACTGACTCCTCGTCTCTTTGCTTTCACACTAAATGCGATGATTCTGATCTATTGCCGATAGCAAAAAAGGATCTAATCTGAAGCAATCAAGCAATCAAGCAATCAAGGTTACTGTGCTGTATGTTTGACAGAAGAATTGCGATGACTTGTTTCTTCGCTTTTTTTCTTCCAACTACAGTACCGGTACGTTTTTGACTTTGGAGATCTCGTTTATATTTTCTTCTTGCACTCTCTCAACGTTCCTCACGTTATCCGTGTAGGTAGAAAACCTACCATAGAATACCGGTCATTTTGGGGCTTGCGCTCCACAGTCTCTCTCCACTTCTCCTTTACTCGTCGATCCAATCGATCGAAAACATCATTCAAATCATAAACTGAAACTGAGGGCAGACGGACGACTGACTCATACGACTCACTGTTCCTTGTGGATACACGTGGAAAGACTTGGAGGACCCAAGATTTCTCATCGGATGACAGATGAAATCAACAACATTAAAATACGTACATACATCACTTTGGCAATTAATCGTAGCAACCACAACAACGACACGAAGGACACACGGCCGTGAACCTCACAACACCAATAACAACATGACAAGACATTTATCATCATTATTCCTCAGCGTTTCCCTGATTAGCGCTCTCTGTTGGAGGCCTTCTCAAGGATTTGACACGGTAGTACGTCATTCATGCCATCCGCTGCTGCAACACAATCATCTGAACACACGATCGGAGACGACTTTCAATCGTCCGAATGATGTGACTATCAGGAATCATTGTCATCAACGACTACAACAACAACAACAATATACATGTGGACCACAACTCAGTACTACCAGCAGTACCAGCAGTACCAGTACCAGTCTCTATGCTGCTCCTGAATCATCATCATCATCCGATGAAAATCAATCGGAGGACGTAAATAACAACAACAGCAACAACAGCAACGACGACGACGACGACAACCTCCCAGCAACCACAGTATCCTTTCGCAAACGGTTGCGAAGAAAACTGAAACGAATCAGCAAGACGCTCATGATGGCATCCGCACTTTCCTTTGCTACGGTGACTACGATCCCCCGACCCGCACACGCCAAGTTTTCACACGAATTGGGAGACGAACGAATCTTGAGTTTACGACCTGGAATCAATCCAGAGCAAGCGGAAAAGCTGGCCGAAGGTGAAATCCCGGAGGAGCTGGCTGGGACCAAAGGAAAGACCTTTCTGTCACCCACATCGTCTTCTTCGTCTGCTTCCAAAGAGGCGAATAAAGAAGCCCGCAAAAAGAAGGAACTTTCCAAAAATACCTTTGATTACGGAGATGAAGATGACGAAGAGAATGGTGATGCTTATGATTTAGAAGAAGAATACTTCTTGCAAGAACAACAAGCCCAACGCAAACAAATGGGTTCTCCTGGACGAACGTCGGTCTCCCAATCGGACGCCAACCGCGCCAATGCCTTTGCCGCAAATACCAAATCGACCTTTTCGGGAGTCGCCAAAAAGTCGACCAAGGAAAAGCAGCTCCAAACCATGAAAGTGGCGGTGGGGGGCTTTATCCCCACCTTTGGCGCCATGTTTGTCCGAGAATTTGTGCGACGGCGCAAGGAAGAAACCTACGTCCAAAAGGGATTGGAAATTCTCAAGGCCCAAAAGGCGGAATACTTTAACATTACCGATACGAATAGCACGGAGGCAGATTCGGACATTGAAGACGAATTGAAGGATCTCAAGAATAAGGATGACGAGGATGATGATGACGAGGACGATGATGACGAGGACGATGATGACGACGAGGACGAGGACGACGAAGATGAACCACCATCACTATCACGGCGCAAGCCCAAGCCCAAGGGACCAAGTGGAGGTGGTGACGGTAGTGGTGGTAGCGGTGGTGGCCGTAGTGGTGGAGGTGGTGGCGCAGATGGAGACGAAGGTCCAACTGCAGAGGATCTAAAGCGTTTGGGGGACATCTTTGACAAATCGTAAAGCTAGTTTTTAAACAATGAATACTACTAGGATTTGGTAGATTAGTACCGGTAGGCTATTTAGAAAAATTAAAAAATACAACAATGCATGGTATGCCTGATACTACTGCAGGAGGCTAGCTAGATAGCTAGATAGCTACAAACAGTAACTCTTTCTAACTCTTTCTACTAGTGCACAGCACTGCTGACGCATTTACTGGTAGTAGGCTATTTTAAAAAAATACAACAATGCATGGTCTGGTACCGTATTACTAGAAGGCTAGCTAGCTAGCTAGCTAGTAATGACAACCTTTCTTGTACTGGTGCAACAAGAACTGCTTACGCAATTGTAATAATAAGGAGGCTGCAGATTCGGACAATGGATGAAAGATCTTAAGACGAAGGATTGTGATGATGAAGGAGAGACGAAAATGAACCACCATCACCCGCCAACCAGCCCAGCCCAAGCGACCTTGCAGAAGTGGTGACAGTAATGGAGATGGAGATGGACAGGAGGAGTCCAAGAGCAAGACGATTGATTCATTCGATGCGTTACTGTAGTGGTCAAAATCGTAAAATTACTATCATACTACTGTTAGGAGGCTAAAACTTACGCCTTGCAACAAATGTGAAGGTAAAAGTGTGTGAAAGGCTAGTAGAAACGGTACTTATCAACGCTCGCCAGCTTCGACACACACTCATCATCCAAGCGACGTTTTTTGGCGTAACAAGGTGTAAACAATGCCCCCCACCATTCTTCAAGAACACCCTTTTTATGTCCTTTCAGTATTGGTTTGTGATTATAATACGACCTTGTTCTCTAACTGTAGGAACCAGCTGAGAGGAATGGGTGAGGCTGCAGGTACCCACAGTGAAAAACCCAACGTCAAGATATAAAAGTATAT